AGGGCTTGACTGAGGTCTGTGCAGGCTGTTCTTGCGCTCACTTTGTGCACCTGGCAAACGTGTATGCCATGTCCAGGTCCAGCCTTGGCCCGTGGGCTGGGCCAAGGTGCAGTGGGTTCAGCTGGAGGAATCCAAAGGGAGGGGTTTGTCTCATGAGTCAGAATCCTGGGGGCTCTCACTGGGACCTCAGGCCGGGCCCTTCCCCTAACACATCCTCAGTTTCTGGACCTTGGTGGACAGTGGGCCCCTCTGAGACCTCTAAACACCGTGCCTCCCTCCCTGCAGAAGGCCCACCGCTGAGCAACACCACGTTTCCTCACATCCTGCCGCTCATCACTCTGCTGGAATGTGACTCGGCCCCGGCCGAGGGCCCTGAGCCCTGGGGCAGCACGGAGCACGGCGTGGAGGTGCTGCTGGCCCACCTGGAAGCCGCCCGCACGGTGGCACACCATGGCGGCCTGTATCATACCAATGCCGAAGTCAAGCTGCAGGGTGAGTCACTGGCTGCATCTGGGGGCCAGCCACTGCTGGTCCTGCAGCCTGGGCCTCCCTCCACATAACTTGCTCTCCCTTCTCCTCCCAACAGCCCTTCAGATTTCTCCATCCCTCTTTGCTGCCCTGTCTCCTGGACTTCTTTCTTTTTTTTTTAATTTGTAGGATAATTGCTTTACAATGTTGTATTGGTTTCTGCCTTACAACAGCATGAATCAGCCATAAGTATACATATGTCTCTTCCCTCTTGAACCTCCCTCCCCCTCCCATCGCACCTCTCTAGGTTGTCACAGAGCACTGGGTTGAGCTCCCTGTGCTATACAACAACTGCCCACCAGCTATCTATTTTACATATGATAATGTATATGCATCAGCGCTACGTTCTCAATTCGTCCCACCCCTCCCTGACTTCTTTTTCCTCACCCCTTTTATTCACTCATTCAGCAGTTTGACAAGTTAGTGGCAGGCACCAGGTCAGCTTGAGGGATGATTCAAAGAGCACAGTAGCTGTGTATCTTAGCTTCTCTGAGCCTCAGCTTTCTCATCTGTGAAGTGGGCATCCTGACAAGCCCATTTTACAAGGTTGTTTACAAAGCACTTGGCCTGGGGCACTGGGTCTGAGGCAGACTCACCCTGTCTTCAATGAGCTGTCAGTTCAATCAGAAAGTAGAATCCCTTCTTATGGAAGAAGCAGAGATAACGGCTTCAGACAAGTCAACTTTTACTTCTTTAGGCAATATTTAACTCACAAAAGTTCACTGTAGACAAACAGCTGAACAAAACCCAGATAAAACAAATCACCAACAATTACCTGGTAATTGGTAAATGTCGTGACCATTCTGGTAAACGTCTTTCCAGTCTTTCTTCAGAAAGAACAAAACAAGTAAAAATTTTTTTACATTTACTTACAAAATGTATATATATTTCTTATGACAAATTTGGAAACTTACAGAAAAATACAAAAAAGAAAAGAATCACCCAATATCTACCCCCAAGTTAGCAGTGATATTTTATGTTTTAGTCATTTTATTGTTTTTTTAATATTTATTTATTTATTTGGCCCCACCAGGTCTTAGTCGAGGCACACAGGATCTTCCATCTGTACTGTAGGTTGCAGGATGTTTAGTTGCAGCATTTGGAATCTTCTAGTTGTGCCATGTGGGATCTAGTTCCCTGACCAAGGATGGAACACAGACCCCCTGCATCAGGAGTGCGGAGTCTTAGCCATTGGATCACCAGGGAAGTCCCTCTAGTCATTTTAAAATTATATGTTGCAGGGACTTCCCTGGTGGTCCAGTGGTTAAGAATCCACCTTCCAATACAGGGGATACAGGTTTGATCCCTGGTCGGAGAACTAAAATCCCACATCCCTTGGGGCAACTAAACCCGCACACCACAACTACTGACCCCGCGTGCTGCAATGAAAGATCCTGCATGCTGCAACTAAGAATTTTTTTTTTTAATTATTGAAAGTGAAAAGTGAAAGTCGCTCAGTTGCGTCCGACTGTTTGCGACCCCATGGACTATATAGTCCCTGGAATTCTCTAGGCCAGAATACTGGAGTGGGTAGCCTTTCCCTTCTCCAGGGGATCTTCCCAACTCAGGGATCAAACCCAGGTCTCCCGCATTGCAGGCGGATTCTTTACCTGCTGAGTCACAAGGGAAGCCCAAGAATATTGGAGTGGGTAGCCTATCCCTTCTCCAGGGGATCTTCCCAACATAGGAATACAACCAGGGTCTCCTGCGTTGCAGGTGGATTCTTTACCAACTGAGCTATCAAAGAATAGTAGGACAAAGACCAGGTGTTAAACTGCTTGGTTATGTTCATTCACAAACCTTGTGGGATCCCTGGCAGACGTGGGGGGAAGTCCCTTGGAATGGGGCCCTGCGGGATGTGGTGGCTCCTGGTAGGAGCCCCAGCTTCCCTAGCCGGATGGTGGTCCCCTGACCACTGTATCCCACCCTGCAGGTTTCCAGGCCCGGCCAGAGCTCCTCGAGGTGTTCAGCACTGAGTTCCAGATGCGCCTCCTCTGGGGCAGCCAGGGTGCCTGCAGCAGCCAGGCCCACCGCTATGAGAAGTTCGACAAGGTCCTCACTGCCCTCTCCCACAAACTGGAGCCTGCTGTCCGCTCCAGCGAGCTGTGACCCCCACGGACCCTTCCCCTCTGCAGCTGCGGGCAGCAACGGGATCAGAAGGGCACAGACCTTGCCCCAGAGCACCCCAGGGACACTGTGATCAGCCTGAGAATATTCCGGGTTCAACTCCAGGATCTCCTGTGCACCTCCAGGGTCTACGCAGACGCTGGGCTCCGTCCTACCTGCTCCACACTCACCAGGCTTCCCTTCAGGAAGAACTGGAACCCTGTTTCTCCCTCCAGTTTCTGCTTCTCCCCTTCCTGCTGAGGTTGCCCTGGGTTTGAGCCACAGGAGGCTTCTTATACCTCCTCACTCTTCTCCGGGCATCTGTTTCCCCCCACCCACAATCCAAGCCTGACACCAAGGCCTCCCTCTGGCTGTAAATACATCTGTCTGTTCTGTAAATATATGTATAGAAACCATGTTCTTTCTTTCATATAATAAACTTTTATGACTCTTTTTTTTTTCTGTCTCTCAGGGGGCTTTGGGGTGGACGTGTCTTTTCTCAGGTGAAAGGTGGAAACAATTCATTCAACAAATACTCATTTTGCACTTGAAACATTTCTAGATTGTACCAGGAGCCAGAGTTACAGCCAACACTAAAATCCAATCCCTGTCCTAGAGTCTTAACCACTTGGACCACCAGGGGAGTTCCATAATGGGTTTTCAGTGGTTATTGGTTGATTACTTTGTGAGCCAAAGCACTCCATGTGCCTATACCTCATGGCAGTATCACCATTCCTCACAGGCCAGAAGGGTAATAAATAGCTAATTCCCACCAGTTGGAGAAATACTGACCTGCACCCATTCCTTCCCCATTCTTTGCCTCCAGAAGCTGCAGCAAAGCTTCCCACAAATATACAGTCCAGTATCCCAGATGTTTGGGGGTGGAAGGGCTTTATGAAATCTAAGATTCCAGCTTCCCTCAGGAAAACAGAACTGGAGGGAGAAGGGACTTTCCCTGAGTCACAGCAGCAGAATGAGGAAGGATGGAACGGGGGTATCCTGACCGGAAGTTCTTGCCTTTTCTCAACAGTGCGAACTACTCACTTCTTTTCAAGTTTTGGAATGTGGCCCCAAAAGTTGTGTGTGTGTGTGTGTGTGTGTGTGTGTGTGTGTGTGTGAGGTGGGTGGAGCTGGAATCTTTGAGGAGGGCCTTGACTCCATGGGAAGAGGAGGAAGGCAGTGTGCATCACCAACCCACACTAGGCTGGAGGCCTGGGGAGCCTGGTCACTGAATTTGAGACATCTGGGGCCCTTTGCTTCATGAAACTTTTGACCAAGAGAGGCTGGATAACATAGTGCATTAGATCTTAGGCAGCAGCCAGACTTGGGTTCAGTCACTAGTTGACTGGCCTTGAATAAGGGGCTTAACCTCCTGGGCCCAGATTTCCTCTTCAATAAAATGGGGCCAATAACAGAACTGATCCCTTTGGGCTACTGTTAAAACACGTAGCACATAGTAGCTGCTAGGTAAGGGACCACCATGTTTTATATGTAACAGATAAATATATATATATTTTGGCCGTGCCCCAGGGTTATGCAAGATCCTATTTCCCCTACTGGGGATCAAACCTGTGCCCACTGCAGTGGAGGCAGAGTCTTAATCACTGGGCAACCAGGGAAGTGCCATAATGGATTTTCAATAAACATGTATTGATTACTTTGGGAGCCAAAACACTTCATGTGCCTGTACTTCATGCAAATATCACCATGCCTCTGATGAGAGGTACTGTTATCATAAGATATCCAAGGGGCATGCATTTGTGCTAAGTCTCCCAGTTGTGTCCAACTTTTTGCGACCCCATGGACTGTAGCCCACCAGGCTTCTCCTTCCATGGGATTCTCCAGGCAAGAATACTGGAGTGGGTTGCCATGCCCTCCTCCAGGGGATCTTCCCGACCCAGGGATCGAACTCGCTTTTCTCACCTCTCCTTCATTGGCAGGCGGGTTCTTTACCACTCGCGCCACCTGGGAAGCCCAAGATATACAAGGCATCGTCTGTTAAGGGCACATAATAGGTGCTCACCAAAAGCTATTAGTGCTCTTTTATCATATAAAAGGGGAAGGGGGGAAGAGCACAGAAAAGGCGCTTTACAAGGTACCGCACAAGTTTTTGCTGTGATGGTCCCCCAGTTACCGTGGCCATGGAAACGCAGTGCGCAGTCCCGGATTGGACGGTTCGCGGGCTCCTCCTGGAGGCCGCCTTGCAAGCCTACGGGGTACCACGGGGAGGGCTTTGGAGATGGGAGCGAGGGGAGCTGGGAGTTGTAGGCCGCAGGAGGTGGCCGCCGCGGAGCGATGCACGTCGGGAGTCGTAGTTCTCGGCAGAGGCGGTTGGCGGCCCCAGACCCAGCTTCGGCCTCACCCGGATGGCGGCTGCGACGCGCAGCTGCCGGCCCTGGGGCTCTCTCCTTGGGATGATCTGGCTGGTCTCGGCCGCGGCCGCCTCCTGGGACCTGAATTCGCTGCGCTGCAACTTCGGCTCCTTCTGCGAATGTGACTTCCGGCCCGACTTGCAGGGTAAGGAGCCCAGACCGGAGAGCCGGGCGGACTAGGGGAGACCTTGGATCCTGGGTTTGTGCCGGGGCCAGACGTGGAGAGTAGACCCAAGGGCAGACCCCCGAGACTTCCAGACGGTCCGGGCTGGAAGTGGGCCCGGCGTTGAGGGACCCTGAGAGCCTGGGGCACAGGACTTGGGGCGAGGGTTTAGGGATGCCTGTTTGGAAGTCAGGATGGAGAGATGCCTTTGACAGCAGAGCCCCGGGTGGTGGTCGAGGGTGGGCAGTTTAGACCTCCGCACTGGACTGGCCGGTCAGGGGAGAAGCCTGCTTTGAGGGTGGCCAGGAGTCTGGGTCGAACCTTTTGACAGCTGGCAACCATTTAGGGCTGAGCTGCGATCCAGAGGGCCACCTGGTTGGGGGGCTGCAGAGCTGAGTCAGCCAGAGGCAGAGGGCACCCCCCACCCCCGCCAAGGGCCTCACTCCCTTTCTGCAGACAGCTTGTAAAGAAACGTCCCAGAATACGGATTCCCAGACATGACTTTCCTCCTGAACCTGTTCCACTGCAGACGTGTGTCCTCAGCTCTGACACTGTTCTTGTGGCCCTAGGTCTGGAGTGTGACCTGGCCCAGCACCTGGCCGGCCAGCACTTGGCCAGGTCACTGGTGGTGAAGGCACTGAAGGCTTTCCTGCAGGATCCAGCCCCCGCCAAGCCGCTGGTCCTCTCTCTGCATGGCTGGACTGGCACTGGCAAGTCCTATGTCAGCTCCCTGCTGGCACACTACCTCTTCCGGGATGGCCTCCGTAGCCCCCACGTGCACCACTTTTCCCCAGTCATCCACTTCCCCCACCCCAGCCACATGGAGCGTTACAAGGTAGGCGGGTAGTGTCCTGGCCCACCCTCTGCACTGTAGGGTGACTCCACTAGGGTGGGAGTGAGTCCTGAGCCCAGAGAGGGGAATCCCTTGCTCCAGGCAACACAGCCAGTTACAGCCTTCAGCCCTCAGGACCCATCCTAAACAAAGCTTAGGGTGCTATCACCTGGAAGGGAGTTCTTGATTTAATGCCTGGAGGCCAGTAATGATACCTGTGTGCCAGGGTTGTTGTGAGGGACGTGGGATTATAGAATCGCAGGTGTTATTTATGAGCACTTACCTTTGCCAGACAACCTGTATTATCTTCTCTCTGTAAAGCCCTTAGAGTAAGGGCTTTTGAGGCTTGGAGTAAGCACTCAGGAAATATTAGCTCTTTCGACTATTGTTGTTGATTGCAAGGTACTTCCCAGGCTGATCTGTTTCAGCTGTCACAACTCTGTTGTGAAGGTTCAGGGAGGAGGAAGGTGCCCTCCCCTTTTCTAGAAAGCAAGAGGTGTCGGGGAAGGAGCCCCCTGACAAGGCAGGTGTGAGGCCTGGGTCTGCATCCCTGTTCTCTTGTTGACTTGCTGTGGGAGCTTGGAGTACTCTCTGCCCCTCTCTGGGCCACAGTTTCACCATCAGCCTCATTAAGAGATTGGTGCTCTTTGGGAGACCATATCTTCCTGGGAAGATGAATTCTTTTAAATTTTTATTTATTTGGCTGCATCTGTCCTAGCTGCAGCATGCATGAGCTTTGATCTTTGGTGCAGCATGTGAGATCTTTAGTTGTGGCGTGTGGGATCTAGTTCCCTGACCAGGGATCGAACCTGGCCCCCTGTATTGGGAGCACTGAGTCTTAGCCACTGGACCACTAGGGAAGCCCCATTAATTCTTGTTTTGGGAAGGAATCTGGGGTTGGGGAAGCAGCTCCAGGCCCCCTCATACTCTTGCCTCTCTCCCACAGAAGGATCTTAAGAGCTGGGTGCAGGGGAACCTCACTGCCTGCAGCCGCTCCCTCTTTCTCTTCGATGAGATGGACAAGCTGGCCCCAGGCCTGATAGAAGTCCTACGACCTTTCCTGGGCTCCTCCTGGGTTGTCTATGGGACCAACTATCGCAAAGCCATCTTCATCTTCATCAGGTGGGGCCAACTTTGCAGCGGGCATTGGTGCAGGAACACTTGTCAGAGGTCTCAGCTATCCAGTCTTGTCCCATGGCAGAATACTGCTCCCCCCCAGGGCCCATTTGGGTTCCCCCCCAAAGTCCCCATGCCCTCACTGGTGACACCATCATTCAAGGTGTTTGACTCCCCTTTGACATTCTCAAAGCCTGGGTTCAGTCTCTTAATCCTCATTTTTTTGTGGCGCTCCTGCTGGGTTAAGAGTTTTCCCTCTTTTGTGACCAAGAGGACACAAGCCTGGGAAAAACAGGACTAGGAACCAGTCCCACCTCTGAGAATTCTAGCTGGGTTTCTTCGGGGAAATCACTTCACTTCTCTGAGCTCCCATCTCCTTTTCTGAACAGCGGGACCAATCTTAATGCCCTACTGTCCTCCTCGAGGCTGAGTGAGGGAAAGTAGGTAAGGGACCTAAAAGTGTCCTATTAATATAAACTGTAAAGCGCATGGCACAGATGGGCAAACTTCCGGGGTCGCGGTTATGAATGGCTCAGGAGAGGGGAAGCGGTTCCTGGGGGCGTTTTGAGTGGGTTTGGCTCCTGCTGGCTCTGAGCTGGGTCCCCTTAGGAGGCATGTGGGAAGCCAGAGCTGCATCCTGCCCTCACGGTCTGTGTCCCCCGTGGTTTTAGCAACACCGGCAGTGAACAGATCAATCAGGTGGTGTTAGAGGCGTGGCGCAGCCGCCGGGAACGCGAAGAGATCAGCCTGCAGGAGCTGGGACCGGTCATCTCCCAGGCTGTGCTGGACAACCCACACCGTGAGTTCAGCTGAGGACCCCACGCCAGGGGGGCTTCCAGACTGGGGTCTCACTCCCAGATCACACCCAGGGCTGGGCTGGACTCCCTGGGGGTGGGCCAGGCTCTCCCAGGTCAGATGCTCTGCCCACCAACCCAGTACTTTCCAGCCCAGGCTTTGGTGCTCAGGGTTGGTGGACAGCCTCCCCTGAGCCCAGCACCCATGCGGGGCTGGGAGGATTCAGGTCAGCAGCCTTCCTGCACTTCCTTCCCTGTGGGGGTGGGCGGAGGCCTGGCTGACCCCTGTGAAGCACAGCCTCTTCCCATGGCTCTGCCCTGCAGATGGCTTCTGGCGCTCGGGCATCATGGAAGAGCATCTCCTGGATGTCCTGGTGCCCTTCCTGCCACTCCAGCGGCACCACGTGCGGCACTGTGTGCTCAACGAGCTGGCCCAGCTGGGCCTGGAGCCCAGGGATGAGGTGGTCCGGGCCGTGCTGGACAGCACCACCTTCTTCCCCGAGGATGAGCAGCTGTTTTCCTCCAATGGCTGCAAGACGGTGGCTTCCCGAATCACCTTCTTCCTCTGACTCTCCCAGCTGGCATCCCTGTCCTCCTCTACCTGGCCAGGCGATGAAGGAAAGCCCTGGACCCTCTGCCGGAGGGTCGCTGGTCCTGCAGAGTGGGACCCAGAGCATACTGTGAAGATGAGGAGGGCTGTTGGCTGGGCCGTGAGACAGAAGTCCTGGGCAGGCCCTGGCTGTTCATTGGTCTGAGGGCATCTTGGCCTTTGCCTCCTTCCTCAGGGAAATCACTGGTCACCCCAGAATTTCAAGGAGACTTGACCGCAGCCTGAGCCTTCTTAAAATGTGAATTGTAACTCAGGGACAGTGGCTCATGGCTGCGCCCTCCTTCACTCTGTTCCTCTGGCCCTTGCCCCAGTACCATACCACCCCACCCCACACCCCCCTGTGTCCCCATATGGTAAAACCAGGCTGAGACTTCTGTCTCCATGAACAGAGGGACTCAAGTTCACACTGGAGCTGAGCTTTTCAAGTTTTTAATTTTGTACATGAAGAGAACAAATACAAATAAATTTAGTCACAGGACCAGAGAATGTTGGCCCAGGTTCTGATTGCTTCTGAAGGAAGCTACATCGCGGAGCAGAGGGGAGAATTACCCTGCACTGCAGCAAGAAGTGAGGAGCTGAGCATACCTTTCAGAGAGGAGCCTCACTGCCGGGGCTGGGCTTCTGTCTTGGGCCCTGGGAAGTCTGCATGTTGCTGAGACTGGGGCTCAGTCCCCAGGTGACCTCGGTCTTGCTGGAACCTGGGCTTGCGCTCTGGCTCTGGGCCGCCTTGGACTGGCTGCGCCTCTGACTCTGAGCCTGGCCCTTGGTGGCCTCGGTGTTGGAGGGGCTCCAACTTGAGTCATAGGAAGTATTGATCTTGCTGGGGCTTTGGATCATTCTCCAACTTTGGTCCTGGGTAGCAGCTGCCTTTCTGAGTCTCCAGCTCTGACCACGGGCACCCTTGGACTTTCTGAGCCTCCGCCTTGAGCCCTGGGTGGCTTGGGTCTTGTTGAGCTTTTGCCTTGGGCTCCAGGCAGCCTCTGCCCTGCTGGGCCTCTGGTTTTGAATCTGGGTGACCTCCATCTTGCTGGGCCTCTGGCTGTGGATGAGGGTGGCCTCCATCCTGCTGGGCCTTTGGCTGTGGATGAAGGTGGCCTCAGTCTTGCTGGGCCTCTGATTTTGAATCTGGGCAGCATCCGTCTTGCTGGGTCTCTGGCTGTGGATGAGGGCAGCCTCCGTCCTGCTGGGCCTCTGGCTGTGGATGAGGGAAGCCTCTGTCCTGCTGGGCGTCTGGCTGTGGATGAAGGTGGCCTCCATCTTGCTGGGCCTCTGACTTTGAATCTGGGCAGTGTCCATCTTTCTGGGCCTCTGGCTGTGGATGAGGGTGGCCTCTATCATGCTGGGCCTCTGGTTTTGAATCTGGGTGACCTCCATCTTGCTGGGCCTCTGGCTGTGGATGAGGGCGGCCTCCGTCCTGCTGGGACTCTGGCTGTGGATGAGGGTGGCCTCCATCTTGCTGGGCCTCTGGCTCTGAATCTGGGTTGTGTCCATCTTGCTGGGCCTCTGGCTGTGGATGAAGGCCCCTTCAGTCATGCTGGACCTCTGGCTTTGAATCTGGGTGGCGTCCGTCTTGCTGGGCCTCTGGCTGTGGATGAGGGTGGCCTCTGTCCTGCTGGAGCTCTGGCTATGAATGAGAGTGGCCTCTGTCTTGCTGGCTCTCTGGCTTTGGATGAGGGTGGCCTCCGTCCTGCTGGGCCTCTGGTGGTGGCCTGGGGTGGACTTGGTTTCTCTGGGGCTGTGGTTCAGGCTTAGGCCTTTCCTGCTGTCCCCTGAGTCTGAGGATGGTGTCCTTAGCAGTGAGGAGTCAGAGACTGTCACAACAGTGGTGGAAGTGCTCCTGTATTCCTGACCCGTACTGGATGTCTCTGTCTCCGAGGTGGACCTGGTCCTGACTGGGAAGGATGTGTCCAGAGAAGCTGTCAGGCCGCCTTCCCCAGACAGTCCCAGGAAAGGGAGGCTTCTAGGCCTCACCTTTGCCTATGACCCAAAGGCCTCATGTGGCCAAGGGGGAAGGCCTCCCAGATCTCGCCAAGCCCAGCCCTCTTGGCACCCTGAGGCCTACAGGTGGGTCATGGCCATAAGATAAAGGGGAGAGATGAAGGTCCCCACTGTCCAGCGCTGGCCTCCACTCTGCCGGCCGTCTCTCGCCCTGTGTCCCTGTCACCACCAGCACCTGCGGGGACCTGGCCCTCTGCCTGCAGCAGTTCTCTGGACTCCACTCTGCCCACACTTGGCTACCCCATTTCCTCTGAGCCCTAAAAACCCTCCCTGACCCTCCCCCAACGGGGGCTAAATGCACCCATCGTTCTCAGGACTCCCCTCCGTGGTATGGCTACACTGTCCAGTTCTCTGTGTACCTGTGTACCTTCTTCCCTTCAGGACCAAGAGCTCCCTGGGGCAAGGACTGTGCCATTCATGCCTGCACATGGTGTCCTGCACAGGCTCGGCCCTGGGATGCTCAACACATTTGCTGAATGGCAGGAAGGGGACTAGAGCCCCTATGTCCATCCCTCCCCGGACTGCCCGCAGCTGCTTCCGGGACTCAGAGCTGCATTCTCAGGTTTTTCATTTTGTCCCTTCCATTTTGGCACCTGGCAGAACTGAGGGTAAAAGCCCCCTGGACATGCACAGGCTCTGTGGGCTAATTTCAGGGAGAGGCCAAGGGGCAGAGAGAGGAGGGACAGGGTTGAGCGGGGAATGAAGGTGGAGCAGGCAGCGACGATGAAGTGCCTCGAGTGAGAGCTGGCTGCCCAGGCTGTGAGCTGGGCATCCCCGAGGGTTCCCCTCACTCCCCATCCCTGCACCTGCCACTCCCCCCACCACCCACAGCAAAGCTGGCATGAGCCCTCCCGCTCCATACACACACTGCAGTAAGCAGCAGAGGCCAGATTCACACCCAGACCTGGGAGCCTCTGACCTCTGATCTTTGCCCTCCCTGCTGTATTGGCCCATGCAGGGGGACTTACAGCCCAAGGTGGAGCCTAAAGAGGTCTGGCTGATGTAGCTGTCGGTCAAGGATGACTCCTTGCTGGGGGCCAGCTTTAACTTCTCCTAGAATCAGAGACAGGCTGGGCAGTTGGCAGGCTGTGGGAGGCCGCAGCTCTAGAAGGCCAGCCTTCTAGAGGAACTTAGAGTTCCTCGGGGGCTGCAGTTTAGGGCTGGATGGGGACATGGAGCAGTTGACTGGACAAGAGTGGGGGTGACCAGGTTAGACAGGTGTGGCGACACAAGAAAAGCAGTGTCAAGAGGCTGCTTGGTCCTCGTCTCTCTCTATCTGCAAAATGCAAATTCCAGTGTGGAAAAGGCTTCTGCATGCTGTGAAGTGCTGCGCCCTGCCAAATGGCTAGAGAGGGGTTGAGGAGCTTCTCCGCACCTTCCCTGCCTCATCCCATTTCATCTCCAGGTGCATCTGGGAGGGAATGCCCATTGTTATAATTGCCTGGACCAGGAAATGCCTAAGCAGCCTGGTACTCGGCTAAGAGGCACACAGCAGAGCTGGAATCCAGGTGGGGGTGGGCAGGGGGAGAGTCTACGGCCAGGCCCTTGGCAGCTGGTCACACCTGCAGGCTGCAGCGGGGAACATGTGGTAGTGAGATGGAACGGGCAGGGCTCTGGAGCACTAAGCAGGGAGCCCATGATAACTTCAGGGCACACACAGACCCAAGGTCTGTAGCTCTGTATCCTAACATGAGCTGGAAAAATGTAGAGCTCGCCTTTTCCATGTCTGACAAGGGATGCTGGCAGTCCAAGGACTTCAGTGGTTAAAGTCTCCCTTGGACATAATTTACTTGCTGTCCATCAGCAGTCCAGTGGATCAATAAAATGGTAGGATAGCCACAGGATGGAACTGTCCATAGGGATGAGAAGGAGCAGTCAACTTGAATGCCTCTTACCAACTTGAAAGCTTAATGAACAGAGCCAGAGGCAAACAGGCATGTGCCATCCTCCGTTGAGAAGGACCAGTGCATTTGTCGGCAGTGTTAGGAATCAGAACAGCCCTGAGGGAGGAGGGGCCCAGAGCCAGGTGAGAGATGCTTCTGGAAAACTGGGAATGTGTTCTTTCTTGAGCTGGAGAATGGAGTCATGAGGGGTATTCATTTTGTGAAAATTCATCAAACAGTTCACTGAGGATTCATGTACTTTATGTTCCACTCAATGAAAAGTTTTTAGAAATGAATTCAAGTGTTAAAATTCTGGGGGCTTCCCTGGTAGTCCAGTGGTTAGGAATCCGCCTGCTTGAGCAGGGGACACAGGTTCAATCCCTGGTCCGGGAAGAGCCCACACACCATGGGGCAACTAAGCCCGTGCACCACAGCTCCTGAGCCTGAGCTCTAGAGCCATGACCTGCAACTACTGAGCCCGTGGGCCTAAAGCCCATGCCCCGTGACAAGAGAAGCCACTGCAATGAGAAGCCTGCTCACTGCAGCAAAGAGGAGCCCACCCTCCCTACCCACTGAAACTAGGGGTGAAAGGGAAGTTGCTCAGTTGTATCCGACTCTTTGCGACCCCATGGACTGTAGCCCACTAGGCTCCTCCATCCATGGAATTTTCTAGGCATGGGTAATGGAGTGGGTTGCCATTTCCTTCTCCAGGGGATCTTCCTGACCCAAGGATTGAACCCAGATCTCCCCCATTGCGGACAGATGCTTTACGGTCTGAGCCACCAGGGAAGGTGAGTGTGGACAAAGTGTAGGAAGCCTCTCTCTGTAAGGGGCCCCCATTCTCACCTGCACTCCTTCAGGTGTCCCCCTTTACTGGTACCTTCTCCACCTCACAGCAACACGTCCCCAGCCCAGGTCACACAGCTGAGTGGTGGCAGAGCCAGCCTCTAGCCAGCCTGCAGCCCTCAGCCCTGGCTTGGGGTACAGTCCACCTTGCACCTCCAGGAAACCCGGCCCTGGCGTGGGGTGCGCTCACCTTCTCCTTCCCAGAAACCTGCACCTCTTCCTCTGGGCCTTCTGGCTTTGCCTGCGGGAACTGGCAAGGGGCCTCCATCTCCTTGGAGGTCTCCAGTAAAGGCGGCTCCAGCTTCCAAGAGATGATCAGGGCCCGGGCCCTCTGTTCCCGATCCTTGAGCTGCCTGCCAAAGCGAGTTGTCAGAGCACTGGGTAAGCCTCTCTGACTCACCCCACCCTCTCCGGGACTGGATGGTGGCCTGAAAAGGCAAGTATGTGCCTTGAGCCCCAGCCGTCCCCCAACTCTGGGCCTGTGGGTCCTCCTGTAGAAACTTACTCCAGGATGTCCTGAGGGGTGCTAGTGTACAAGCTGTGCTCCACCCGCTCCAGCTGCAACCTAGCCAGGTTCGCCACCTGGCTGCTTAGCACCTCTTCCACTGACATGCCGGGGAAAAGGTTGGTCATCATCGGGAGCAGCTGCCAGGGAGGAAGGTGACCAGAGTCAGGTGTGGGCTAGGACAGGGGCAGATGGTGTGGCACTGCCCTGACTGGCAGAGTCCCTTCTCAGGGCTGAAGAAGAGAAGGGTTTACAAATTCAGCATCAGTTGCTCAGTCGCATCTGACTCTTTGTGACCCCATGGACTGCAACAGTCCGCCAGGCTCCTCCGTCCATGGGATTTTTCCAGGTAAGAATACAGGAGTGCATTGCCATTTCCTTCTCCAGGGGCTCTTCCCAACCCAGGGATCAAACCAGGGTCTCCTGCATTGCAGGCAGACTCTTTACCATCTGAGTCATCAGGGAAGTCCTTTTATAAATTGTTGTTTCTTTGGGCCTGAACTATTGGGAGATCTTGAGGAAGGAGCTATTATGTGAGGGAGTTCTGAGTCTGATCAGGGGTTCTGGAGTCAGCCAGAGGAGGGTGTGACCTCCAAGCTCCATGACCTGGGCCAAGGGAACTGAGTTGTCTAAGCCCTACCCTCTTCCCTCTGTGAATTATGGGGTGACGAGACACCTGTCTCGTAGGTGTTAAAGAGGGTTAAACAGGGTGATATAAGCTGAAGTGTTTAGAACAGTGCCTGGCTGTGTGTTACCTGCTCAGTCGTGTCCGACTCTGCAACCCCATGGACTGTAGCCTTCCAGGCTCCTCTATCCATGGAATTCTCCAGGCAAGAATACTGGCATGGGTTGCCATCTCCAAGTGCCTGGCACATAGTAAATGCTCTGGCATCATTGTTGTCTTAGTCACTCAGTCATGCCCGACTCTTGTGACCCCATGTACTGTAGCCCATTAGGCTCCTCTGTCCATAGGATTTCCCAGGCAAGAATACTGGAGTGGGTTGCCATTTCCTTCTCCAGGGGACCCTCCGAACCCAGCGACTGAACTTGTGTCTCCTGCATTGGCAGGCAGATTCTTTATCGCTGAGCCACCAGAGAAGGTACAAAGTAAATGCTCTGGCATCAGCAGTGCTTATCACTGCTAGGAATCCAGGTTTCTTTTAGGGACAGGACGTATCTTTAGGTGGTCAGAGGTATTGACTCAAGCCCACCCTCCTGGCCCAGCAAGAACTCACCTTGGGTTGCTTGGGGTCCAGGAGCAGGACAGTGGCAACATCCTGGCGGGCCCCAGAAATGTTCTGCATGAGCTGCCGGCTCCTGGCGCGGTACAGGTAGTACTGGGGCTTCCGGGGGTTGTGCTGGATGGCTATTGAGAAGTGGTTCTCTGCCTTCTGGAACTGCCTGCAGGACACAGTGGGCCACAGGGTGCTCTGAGCTGGGCCACCTGGGGGAAATGGGGGCTTCTGGACCTCACTGGGGAGTTTGGGGAAAACCAGGCTAGTTTCTGCTCCCTGCCACCAACACTCCTCTTGATGGACCCAACACTTAAATGCTAGTGTAAAGTCCCCAAATAAATGGACACTTTTATGATCTCGGAATAGGAAGGGCTTTCTGAATGTCACAAACCCAGCAGCTAAATATGAAAAAAAAAAAAAACCTAATTTGACCACGATTAAATCCCATTATTTAGTAGTAAAAGCACCACAAAAGAAAGCAGCAAATAGGGAAGAATATTTTGCCACATAAGGCAGATAATAAGCAAACTTTCCAGTCTACAAGAACTCTTATAACCAAAAAAAGTTTTTATTGGGCAATTTAAAAGCAAATGGGAGAACAATTTAGGCAGACCATAATGGCCAATAAACACATGAAAAATGCTGTCCTGCACCCACAATTTAAATATGCAAAGTAAATCCAATGCAAGAGAACCATTTATTTTTTGCCTACAGATTAGCAAAGTTAAAAAATAGTGTTAATGCTCTGTGCTAGGGAGGTTTGGGGAAATGACTTTCTTTTAGTGGGGGAAGTTTATATTGGTTCATTGTTTTTTTGGAGAACAATTGGTTATCATCTTTAAAATGTTAAAATTTCACACTCAAAAATTTAACTTCCAGCAATCTAACTACAGAATTACTAGTATGAATGGATGGAAACTATGTCTTGGGTGTCATTACTGCATTATTTATCATAAAAAAAAAAAACTGAAAACAGCCCAAATTCATCAGCAGACTATTGTCTAGAAAAATTAACTGTGGTACTTCCGCCGAATGGAATACTTTGCAAACAATAAAAGAGAATGAAGTCATCCTTTGTGTAATGGCCATGGGAAGTAAAAAAGCCTGTCAAATATCAGCTTAGCACGATCTCACTTTTGTAAAATGATAGCAATTGCTAATACATGCATAGAAATCAATCTGGAGGACTCTACCAAACTCACCCAGACAGGGGATGCGTTGGGAGACAGGTATTAGAAGGAACTTCCATTTTCTGAGTCTTATGTTACTGAATACTTACTTTTTTTTTTTAATAAAAAGCGCAATTACCGTAACAATATTCAGAGAAAAAGTGAATGATTTTTAGCGAAAACTTGGAAAATAAAATTGATATTTAGAAGACTTAACTGGGAGAGCAGAGAAATCTTGACCCGGGGAGCCCAAGCAGGCGGCTTCATCCCTGACCTCCCCGGCCCCGCCCATAGCCCAGTCTGCCCCGCCCACGGCCCCGCCCCACCCACCGTCGGCTCACACCTGCTCCGGTGCTCGCAGAAACCCAACTTCTCCTGCAACAGGCCCATGCGCAGGTGGGCGCCCTCGTCCTTCGGACTCAGTGCCAGCGCCTGCTGGTAGTCCGCCTCAGCAAAGGTCAGGTTGCCCAGCTGGAAGAAGCAATCTGGAGCGCGGGGACTGAGTGGGGATCGCAAAAACCCAGAGCGCAGGAGCCGCGGCCCAGTTGGCTCCACCCCCTAGGAGGCGGGGCCTGCAACTGATGCTACCCTTGGGCGGTTGTCAGCACCTGCAGCGGCTTTTCAATGCAGCTGGGCGCTTCTTTCCAGTTGCCTGATCTGAGCATTTTGAAGGACTGTGTAGCCAGATGGTCTCTCAGACAACGTTTCCCCTCCGTAGTGTGTTCGTGGGACACTGAGACTCCTCTTCGGCCCCTTCTCCCTCCCTCCCACCCTCGGGGCCCTCGAGCGCCCAGCGCAGGCCTTAGAGAGGCAAGGGGCTCACGCCGAGCTCCCCGGGACCCCACTCACCGCCGCGGTTGATGTAGAGGCCTTTCTCCTGCTGCTCGTCCTTGAGGGCCTTGTTGAGCAGGAGCACGCTCTCCTGGTAGGCGCCCTGCATGTAGCAGTGCACCGCAAAGTCGTTGTAGGCCAACAGCAGTTGGCGCTGGGCCTGCTGCACCAGCTCCTCTTGGTGCTCGCTCATCATGTCCAGCGCCTTCAGGAAGTCCTCCACTGCCAAGTCAAAATCCTGGAGCCGTCGGTACATGGTGCCCCTATGGGAGAGGCATATGAGAGCCAGAGCGCCCGCACCGACTCGGGGTGTCCCAGAGAGTGGATGCAGCTCTGGGTCCCCTGACCGCTGGAGGCGGCAGGGGGGGCCTCACCGCTCATGTGCTAGGTTTGGCCTGTGCGGCTCCCCGATTGCTACTGAGATAGCCTGATGATTCTACTTTGCTTTACAAATAACTTCTTTCTTTTTGGGAGCAGCGTGCCTGCCAGCCTCTCTGCTAAGGGTTTTTGTACACAGGATGATTGTTTTACCTCCACCGTTTATTGAGAAAACCCAGGGTCAGGAAAGTTAAATGGCCCAGAATGAAGTGTTGAGCCCTTGCTGGGGAGGTAGGAGGCGTAAATTCAAACCTAAGCCTCCTTTACTGGGCTGGGTTGGGCTGAGTCTCCCAGTATAAACTGCTCAGCAGGCCTGGGGGTCCAGGATTCCCAGGTTAACAGGCTGCTGCCTGCCCCTTCTCCAGAGGCAGTAGCAGAAATCACCTCCCATGATTCCTCAGTCCTGATGGAGAGCAGGGAAAGACCCTTAGGGACTAGACGGGGAAACTGAGACCTGGGGAGGGTCAAGAGCTCTCCTGAGATCACATAGCACATCTGAGGCAAGGCAGGGCCTGGGACCCAAGACAGCATTTCCACCCCCCCAGTACCGGAAGAGGAAGAAGCTGGGGTCCAGAGGGTTGTTCTCAATGGCACAATTGATGCAATGCAGCGCATGTTGCAACTTGCCCTGCACGGCCAGGACCCCAGCATCTTGGCGTGCCTGCTGGGCCTGGCCCACCATCACCCGGAGCAGCACCTTGGCCTGTGGGTGCTTGGGATCCAATAGCAAGGCGCTGTGTAGGTCTCGATAGCAGAGGTTGGGCTGCAGGGGTGCAAGGCAAGGATAGCGTCAGGGCTGCACCCAAACTGAGCTCCCCCCTGTTCACTGGGGGGAGGCAGACCTCTGGGCAGGCCAGCACCATGCCACCCATCTTCAGAGTCCCCCCCGCCCCTCCATTGTTGTTTTGCCTTTTCTGTCTCTTGAAGGAGGAAGGGAGCATTGTGGGAAAATCCTATCCAAGGCCCCATCCCTACTGGCCCCTTTCCAGATGTGACCTCAGGTGAGCCAGGTCTGCCTCAGTGGTTTTTGCTGTAAAATGGGGCTACAGATGCCTCCTCCTTGCAGAACTTCTGCGAGGCTCACTTGAGGTAGGGGGAGGCCATGGTCTCCTGACCATGACTGTCATGTCCTCCCTGTCCTCCCCTGTACACCCTCCCGCACACCTCTGACTTTTAAGCCCAAGACAACTCTAACCAAGAACACATTGAGGCCTGGGCATGAGCAGAAAACATCCCTAGGCAAATACCTTCCACTGGGTGAGCAGGTCAGTCAGTCAGTCAACATTTTTAGCAAGTAACCCATGTCCTGTGGGGTAATTGGTTGAGGGCGAGAGAGGCAGTGTAGACACTGGGTGTGAGTGGAAACTGGGAGGGGAAAGATGGCAGAGGTTGGGACAGGGCTTTGGAATAGGTGGACTTGGGTTCAAGGGGAGCAAGTTAGCCAAACCATCTGAACCTGCTTCCTCATGTGTAAGAAGAGGACAGTGGGTTGTGTCTAACCTCAGAGGGTTACTGCCAGCCTTAGAGACAAATGTGAGTAAAGTGCTTAGAATGTGTCTATGCATTGTAGGGAGCAGCTGCAATCCCAACAATCAACAATAATTGTCAATAATTACTAGTCTCCTACCTTTGAAGGAGCCTCTCCCATTGAGTTACCTGTGGGACACAAGAGCCCAGCCCCCGGCAGAGGGAGGCTCTTGGTTCCAGCACCCTGAGGACACCCTGCCCACTCCAGCCCATCATGCTTCTCCTCTTCCTGAGTCCCCCTGCCCCCAACCCCAAGCACCCTAGCCAAACTGGAACAACAGGCCTTGTTCTGGATGCCTCTGTTTTCCTCACTCTCACCTCTCCAGCCCCCCAGTCAGTCTCTGGTCCTGCTTCCAAAGGTCTGAAGAACTTGCCCCCCTCCTTGCCGCCATCCTGCCCATCCTCCCCGAGTCCCACTCCTATCCAGATGGATGGTACCCAGGTTTCCAGTCTCCTGATTTGCCCCTCTGCCCCCCAGCCCACATGCCCCCTGGCAGCCAAAAGGACTTTTCTAATGCCCACTCCCCCCAGGGAGCACCCTTCTGAGGTTCCTGCTGCTCCCCAGGAAGAAGTCAGGGTCCCCCGGGGTTCACGAGATCCTGCCTATCACTCTCTCATCCCTGCAGCCCCTCCTTCTTTGTGACCCCAAGTCTCACATCTAAAGGATGCCTGGCAGTCTCTGATGGTGCTTCACATAATTGGGAAGTCAGTCCTTGTTTAATTATTTGCTGGGGGTTGTTTCCCCTGTCCTGTGAGTTCCATGAGGGCAGGGCAGGCTGAGACTTCTCACCTTGTGGTTTTCAGGGATTGGTGCAGGCCTGGCAGAGAGCCAGGGCTGAATGATGCTGGAACAACTACCTGACCGGGCAGGAATGGTCAGCACTGGTCAGGGTTTGGGAAGGACAGGGCTCCCACCACACTGGGGGCTGTGGTCTCTGGGCTGGTGGATAGCCTAGCCACCTCCTGTAATCTCAGCACCCAAACAAGGAGGAGGCCCACCCATCGGCCCTGCCTGCCCTGCTCTACCTTCTGGAAGAAGTTGTAGAGCCTGGCCCGGAGGATGTAGACATCCGCATTGGTGGTGCCTTGCTTCACCTCCTTGGTGACGAACGAGAGGCATTCACGATGCTTTTTAAGGGCCAGGAGACAGGCCAGGCTGTGGGCAGAGAGCAAAGGTGCTTGGTCTGCCCAGTGAGAGGGGCAGGAAGGAGACACTGAGGGGGACAAAGGCTAGAAAGCTCTTGACTAGGGTGCTCACCATCGATACCGGAAGCAGACTTTCTCAGGCTGGAGCTCAGAGGCTTGGGAGAAGACGGTCAAGGCATCCAGAAAGGCGCATTGCTCAAAAAGGCACTGGCCCTGGTGACACAGGGATTGTCAGCCCTGCTTGTGAGCCCAGCTCAGCAGCCCCCATGAATTGAGGGATGGCCATCACTGGGGTGGAATGACAAGGGATGGTGACAGAGTCCTTCAGATCAGAGAGAGATTTTAAGAGATAGAGATACAGACAGAGAGATACAGAGCTGGGGAGACAGCAAGACACATAAATATACAGTTGGTGACAGACAGATAGCAATACAGACATAGGAATAGGGAAAAAAGAAAACCTGAGAGGTGGATCAGAACAGCAGATCTAATGATAACAGGCTCCTTCCTGGACCAGGGCTCCAGGTGCCAAACCCTGTATTAAGAATAAAGGGGCTGATTCATGTCAATGTATGGCAAAAACCACTACAATATTGTAAAGTAATTAGCCTCCAACTAATAAAAATAAAAATAAATAAATAAAAAGAATACAGGGAATTCCTGTATTCTTAGGGATACATATAACTTAGGGAGTTCCCTGGCTGTCCAGGGTAGGACTCAGTGCTTTGACTACAAGGATGTGTGTTGGGGAACTAAGATCCTGCAAACTGCCCAGGTGCAGCAAAAATTAAAAAAAAAAAAACAACACTAAATTTATCTCACTGGGACTAGGTAACATTCCCCTTTTAGATGAAGGAACTGAGGCTCAGAGAAGTGAAGTGACCTTTCCAAGTGCACACAGAAAGAACAATATTGGCCTCAGGACCCCCGCAGGCAGTTTAAGCATGTGGTCTGGTTTTAAGAATGTTTCTTTTTTCAGAGTTGAATAATAATAATTATTATTCCTATTATTTTGGCTGCACAGCATGGCAGTGGGATCTTAGTTCCTGACCAGGGATCCAATCCATGCCCCACCCCCCTGCAGTGGAAATGCAGCGTCCTAACCACTGGACCGTCAGGGAATTTCCAGAATTGAATTATTATTGACATTAAAAACCAAGACATCAAAGTTGTGAACATGGGGGAAAAATCAGGACTTTTTTGGGATTTTATGGATTAATATCATCTTTATTACACATTACAAATGGGGGGCGCTCTTGTCTTTTTAGTGCTGGAAGCCTGTGGACTCTAGGCCTGTGCTGTCCAGAACAATAGCCACCTGCTGCCCATGGCCATACAAATTCAGATAGATTCTAATTAAATATCAGTACAATTAAAAAATTAGTTCTTCAGTCACACTCGCCACATTTCAAGGGCTCAACAGTTCTATGTGGCTAGTGGCCATCAGAATGGACGGTAATCATCATGCCAAGTGATTGTTGTCACTACTGCAGAAAGTTCTATTGGATGTACCCAGCCCTGGTGGTGGATGAACCTGGAAGGAGGGAGAGGTCATGAGAAGGAGTGGCAGAAGGGGACACAGATGCAGGGACAAGAAGGTCGCCAGGAAGTCAGGGCTGGCCCCGGGAGCAAGGAAAACCCCCAGAGTTGGAGGGAGAGCCAGCAGGCCAGGGTGGGAGGCAGGTGCCTGGTACGGGCCTAGGGCAGCACTGGGCACCTTCAAGTAAAGCACCAGGGCGAGTCGCTCCAGGTAGTCGTTGTTCTCTGGCTGGGAGTAGTAGGCCTTTCGAAGGTTCTGGGCGGCCGAGGAGAAGTCGCAGAGCTGGATATAAGCCTCGGCTCTTAAGGCATAGAATTCTACCTGAAGGAGAGGGGACCCAGACTGCCGTTCCCTTCCCCACAATCCGCCCTGAGGTTTGCCACTCGGCTACCACAGGGACTTGGTGGCCCTGAGAGGTGAGAGTGTAAGCGTGGGACAGCAACTGCCCGTGCCCACCCAAACCCTCCCTCTCACCAGCTGGGGGTCCAGGTGGAGGGCGCGGGAGAAGAAGAGCACGGCCATCTCCCAGTCCTCTTGCTCCAAGCACTGATGAGCTCGATGGTAGCTGTGGAGGGCAGGGGGCACAGGCAGGGGGCAGGGCTGGCCCTGACTTGGGACCGGCCCAGGACATAGAGCTGGGTGGTTGGGAATGCGTTGCAAGGAGGGGGACTTGGGTAGGAAGACAAGAGGGGTAGACAGAGACCCAGGGAGAGCAGGCTGGCCATCCGTGGAGCCCATCCAGCCTTATTTTTGCTACTGAGGTGGAAGAGCCCCGTTATACAGTTGAGCTTGCTGGAGCTCAGAGAGGGAGAGTAACTCGCCCAAGGCTGCACAGCATGTCAGTGGCTCTGCAGGGAAGGAACCTGGGACCCCTGGGCAAGGGAGACACTCACTATTCCCTGACTTTGAGGGGCACGGTTAACCCCGTAGCCTTTGGTTTTATATCATCAAAGTTCTGGAAGATTTGGCTGGTCCCAAAGATGCGCTGGAGGGTCCCCTTTGGCACGGGAATCACCCATGGCTTTGGGATGTGTTGTGAGGGAGCTTTGTCATGCTCCAGACCATCCTGGAACCAAGCAACAGCAAGCTGGAGCAAGCCTCAAAGACAATCCCCACTCCACTGACACACTCTCCTCGGGTGTTTTACAGGATGGAGGAGGGGATGGAAAGGGGGCCTGGGAGGAGGCACAGTCTGGGGTCTGGCGGCCCTCCCAGCCCCTTTCCCCTTAACCTCTCTGCAGTCCTGCCTCTCTCTCCTGTGGTCAAGATCTCATGCTCACACTGCTCTCTGCTCTCCTCCTGGTCTCCCTCAGCTTCTACCAGATACCGACACCCAAAACTCATGTCTGCAGCTCAGGCCCTGCCCCAAGCCAAAGGCCCTGGGGGTCCAGCAACGTCTTGAGAGAAGATCTATGTTCCATTAGTCCCTAAGTCCTGTCTATCCCACTTCCTACAGATCTCTCAGATACCTCCTCTTCTCTCATCTGGGTCACTGCCATCTCTTTCTCTATGCCAGCTCCGGCCACCCCTCCGACTTCCCCACCAGCCGCAGGTCCTAAGACCTCTGTTCTCTGCACAGCAGCTAGGGACTTTACAGAGTCGCACAACTGATCTGGCCTCTCCCGAACGAAAACCTTCCCTGAGAACCTGTACGTGGTCTCCTCTCCCCGACCCTTAGCCTTTGCTTCAGCCTTCTCCCGCACCTCTCCGGAGTCTGTCATGAGGCCCCTTCGGGGAGGACCCCAGGACCTGGACCAGCTTACTCGCGGTCCTCACTTTCCTCTTGGCCCCCTCCTCCCGACGTTGCTAGGCATCATCTCCAGGACGCCCACAGGCTCCGCCCCTTAGCCACGCCCCCGGAATCCCGAGGCGTCCAATCCCTGAAATCCAATTTCAAACCGAGCCGGAAAGAGGCTGCGCGCTTAGTCGCTCAGTCGTGTCCGACTTTTTGCGACCCCATGGACAGTAGCCCGCCAGGCTCCTCTGTCCATGGGATTCTCCAGTCAAGAATACTGGAGTGGGTTGCCATGTCTTCCTCCCGGAGATCTTCCCGATCCAGGGATGGAATCCAGGTCTCCCACATTGCAGGCGGATTCCTTACCGTCTGAGTCACCAGAGAAGCCCAAGAATACTAGAGTGGGTAGCCTATCCCTTTTCCAGCTGATCTTCCCAATCCACAACGCTCTAAGAGATGACACCTTGCAATGGCTTTAGCAAGTTTTTATTAGCTGGGGAAGCCAAGGAAAAGGCTTGCCGGCTTTCCACAGCGAGGCAGGGCCCCAGGGGTGGGTCGAAACAGGGCACACTCCTTCCCAATCCAGTGGTCAAACAAGGGCTCCGCGAGCCCCACGACAAACCCCGCAGACGGTGACGCGGCACCTGGGAATGCGCAGGGACGCCCGGACCAGGCCAATGCCCCGCCACTTCCGCCCCTCAGAAGGGTGGCGGCCACATGGCCCGCCCCGGATTGGGCGTTAGCATCTAGGGGCGACCGCGACTGGCCGAGGGGCTGGCTGACGTCAGGGGGCGGGGTCCGCGTCCTGAATGGGGGCAGCATGGGGCCGCTAGGCCTCTCGCGCGCCGGGCTGTGGCTGAGTCGAGCCATGAGCCGCTGCGTTTTGGAACCCCGGCCGGCGGGGAAGCGGTGGCTGGTGAGTGGAGTCGGGTACAGTATAGGGACTCCCGGGCCCTAGCTCCAGGTCTGCCACTGTCTCCTGGGCAAAGTTCTCCCCCTTCCTTGTCTTGAGTTTTCTTATCTAGAAATGGGTCAGATGCTCCGATGGGCTCCAGACTTCCAGGAACTCCGCTCCTGCACTGGGGGGCCCTGCCCGCCCACCCCGGGGGGCTCTTCCACTTGGCGTTCTGGAATCTTGGAGTTTCTTGGACTCTTCCTCGTGGCCCTAACCTACTCCGGTCGTTTTCCATTTACCTTCCTCTGCTTTGGGGCCCCGGGTGGGGTCGCGCTGTGAGATAGATTATGGGGATAGTTGTCGGGCCTCTGATGTCGCCCGCAGGTGGCAGGCCTGGGAAATCCTGGACTGCCTGGCACGCGGCACAGCGTGGGCATGGCGGTGCTGGGGCAGCTGGCGCGGCGGCTGGGGGTGGCGGAGAGCTGGGCACGCGACCGGCGCTGTGCCGCGGACCTCGCCCTGGCCTCACTCGGAGATGCCCAGCTGGTCCTGCTCCGGCCACGGAGGCTCATGAACCTCAACGGGCACAGTGTGGCCCAGGCGGGTAAGTTGAGGGCCCCACGTGTGTGCCCCCCAGGAGGGCGCAGGGGCCCGGAGGGGGCATTCTGGACTGCAGCAAATCGGTTCACCTAGAGCTCCAGGTACCAGTTGAGCTCCAATTGCTGCCTTGCCTTGGGTGACTGAGAAATTGAGAACTTCAGTTTCTTTATATGTGGTGGTGGTTTAGTCACTTGGTCATATCCAACTGTTTGCGACCCTGTGGACTGTAGCCCCCCAAGCTCCTCTGTCCATTGGATTCTCCAGGCAGGAATACTGGAGTGGGTTGCCATGCCCTTCTCCAGGGCATTTTTCCCAACCCAGGGACTGAACCTGCGTCTCTTATGTTTCCTGCATTGGCAGGCGGGTTCTTTACCACCAAGTGGGGTTAACTGTGGCCCCTCTTCATGGGAGCCCAGAGTCAGGACAACCTTCCTGGGTGGATCAGTAGTAACCGGGGCCACTGTTTCCCTGGGCCAAGCGGAGCTGTTCGGACTGACTGCTGAGGAAGTTTACCTGGTACACGATGAGCTGGACAAGCCGCTGGGGAAAGTGGCTCTGAAGTTGGGAGGAAGCGCCAGGTGAGGCCCTGAGCTGGTCAGGGTGGGATAGGGAAGCTGGCCTCCGGGTTGGAGTGGGGGTAGAAGTGCCGACCCCAGGCTGGGCGGGGGATGGGGTGAAGGGTGCTGACCCAAGGAAGCACTGACTGCCCCTCTCCTGTCCCTTGAAGGGGCCACAATGGAGTCCGTTCCTGTATGAGCTGCCTCAACTCCAGTGTGAGTCTGCACCTCCATCCTGCACTGAGTCGGGTGGCCCGGCACAGGGCCCCCAACACTCCTTCTCACCAGAGCTCCTTGGGCCCCTCTGGCCCCCCCACAGGCAATGCCACGGCTGCGGGTGGGCATCGGGCGGCCGACCCACCAGGATGCAGTGCAGGCCTACGTTCTGGGCCGCTTCTCCCCTGCTGAGCAGGAGCTGCTGCCTCCAGTGCTGGAGCGTGCCACGGACCTGCTCCTGGACCACATCCGCCAGCGGAGCCAGGGGTCTTCGTCAAGCCCCTGAGGCCGGTGGACTCAGCTGCTTGCCCGACTGTCATGCCCACACCCATCCACCCATCCACAGAGGTGCCACACCAGCCTGTGGGGTCTTTTTTTTTTTTTAATATAACTCTTCTCTGGGCTGCCCCAGGCTGCTTGTGGACTAACGTGGGGACTGTGGCTGGAACAGTCCTTCTTTAGGATAGGAGGTTGGTCTCTCCGTGTCCTACTTCAAAAGTAGGGAAACTTCAGGAAGACTGAGCTTTTTCTTTAACTTTTTCTGAGGAGCAGAGGTGTGGATCTGTAAGAGTGAAGGTGCCACCTTTGGAGCTGAAGCCTCCAAAGTGGGCTTCCCATCCCTCCCCTGCCTGTGGAGGAGGGCCCACAGGGTCCAGCAGGCTCCCCTCCCAGGGGATGTGTGGGCGTGTCTGGATCCACTGAGGCCTTGACACACCTTTCTTCAGCCCATTTTACAGATGGGGAAGTGGAGGCTTAAGAGAGGTCCAGCCACATCCACAGAGCCACACAGCTGCGGTGTGGCAGAGCGGTGATATGCACCCAAGGGCGGCCGGCATCCGGCTGTCCCTGGGGCCCCCTGGCACCCTCACCTCAGGGCTGCTGTACGCCTGTAAGCTGCCCATGCGAGTGGTGTGTGAGAGCAGCCTGAGGTCCTCAGGGTTGGGTGGGATGTGGATCCGTCGAGGTACCAGACCCAGGTCCCCAGGCCGGTAGGGTGTGATGCTGGACAGCTGCTGCAGCAGAGACCCTGTCTTGAGTAGCTGGGTGCTGCTGTCCTGGCTGTGGGGAGGGGACTGGTGTCATCCCCTCCACATCTTAGACAAGGAAGCCGAGATTCAGAGCAGCTCCAGGGAGCCAGGCTTCCGGCCCCAGCTCAGTCGAGGACAGACAGCCCTTGGACGTGTCCTGTAGCTGCTTCCTCTGGGGTCACACGGGGTCACACACTCACCCCTCCCTGGGCAGGCCACAGGGCTGGCTCTCCCGGTGCAGGGCCTTGGCCATCTGGGGGCTCGAGACCACGGCCGAGCCGAGCATGAGCAGCAACTGCTGCAGCATCTCCTTTCGCTGCAGCTGGAACATGACATTGAAGTCACCATCCTCCTCGTTAGGCTGCATCTGCCGAGAGGGGGACGGGTGAGCCTGCCAGGTCAGGCATTTTGTGGCCCCAGCATCCACCACTGGGAAACTCCAACCCCAGTGCCTATTAATCTCAGTATTCCCTGGCTGTGATGGAATACCCATTCTCCAGATGGGAAGACTGATGACTTCCAGGGTCTCAGAGGCCTTCGTCCAGCTCCTTTGAGACCTCAAATGGCTAGACGTGGAGAATCAGAAAAAGACAGATACCCAGGAAACTCTCAGGGGAGAGAGGGGCCCTGGGCCTGGCTTGGCCATCTTTGGCGGTCTGCTTATCTCCAGGCAGTTTCTAGTCCTTGATTTGCACCCCACCACCACCACCACTTTCACCCACTTCCAGTTCACCTGCAGAATGTCCTGTAGGAAGGAGGTAGCCTGGGCCAGGGCCGTCTCCAGGCTCGCCCGGGCCTCCTGCTCTTTGGTCAGTTGCTGCTGGAGCCGCTGTCCCTCAGCCTGCTGCTGCTCCAGCTGCAGATTCAGCTGGTCTCTTTCGTTCCTGGGCCCAGGACGAGACAGGTCAGCCTCCTCCCCATCCTAGGACAAGGGGCCCTGTCTTTTCTCTCTGGCCAGCCCCGGGCCTCAGCCTGTGTGACAGACAAAGCCTCCAGGCTCCTGTACAGAGCGGGGAGTCGCTGGCCCATGACCACAGAGGGAGGGTGTTCCCGCCGCTCTGCACCTCAGTGCCTGATTGTCCTGCTGCTGCTTCAGGAGGTCCTGTTCCAGCTGGCCCATCTGAACACGCAGCCGCTTGGCCTCGGCCGTGCCCTGCTGCTGCTCACGGCACTTCTCCGTCAGCATGAGGATGACCTGCAGTGTGGGCAGGTGGCCATGCTCTGGGCCCCGCTGCAGGCCCTCAGCCAGCCCTGCATCCCCCAGAGAGGCCGGCCGGGGCCCTGGGAGCCCAGCACCCGCTGGACTCACCTCAGGGCCGCTGCGCACCCATTAAGTCACCTCTGCGGGTAGGGGCCCTGGGGCTGGGTTCCCATTCAACCAGTGATGGGGGCCAGAGCCCTCCCAATGAGGGCCCCATTGCCTCATGGCTGCCTCCCCCATGCTCTGACCCCGGGTCCACCGTTGCAGGGGCCTTATTTGCCCTGAGGACGGGGCCCTAGGTTTCCTTCCTGCTCTCCGTGCCGAGCCTCCCGGGGTTAGGGCCGGTAGCATGCACCTTCTGGTGGCCCCGGTTGTTCCTGGCCATGAGCTTCTGGGAGTTCTCCAGCAGCTCCAGCTGTTTGCACAGGTTGTCCTGGTGGCCCCGGAGCTGCTCGTTCTCCGCCAGCAGCTGCGTGCCCTGCCGTGTAATCTTGGCCAGCTGCAGGGTCACCGCATTGTTCTCTGTGATGGCCCGCTTGGTTGTGTCCCACATCTGGCTCGTGGCCACCTTGCGGAACTCTGTGGCCACCATGTTCACACGCTGGATGATCTCCTTTCTCAGTCTAGGCGGGATGGGTGGGAGTGAGGTGGGGTTCAGGCAGAGGGGGGTCCCCAGAGTGCCTAGACCTCTCTGCCCTGTTCCCCATAGGAGGGGCCAGGGCCACCAGCAGGAGCTCTTTATTATAGACCCTTTGTAATATTTTGAACCATGTCCGTGTATGATGAACCATTAAATATAATTTAAGTGGCACAAGGAAGTTCAGGGATTCTCCATTGTCTGTGTGAGAATTGGGAGCCTGTTTTTTTTCTCTCCGCCACCCCCTGCCGCCACCCCACCCATCAAATCAGCCACAGTTTCGAGGAATGGCAAGTCGGGGCATCAAGGACTTGGCATGGTTCCCCCCTGCCCAGTTAGAAGCCAAGGCTGTCGGAGGCCTGAAGACCTGGCTGTACTTGGCTTCACTGAGGGGGTCCTGCGCCCGCAGCAGCCTGCCCACCTGTCCTTGTCCAGCACCGACTTCTTCTCCAGGTTGTGCACGTAGTCCTTGTATTCGTTCTCCTGCTTCCGCAGCTGGTCCTCCAGCGACATGAACTTCTTCATGAGCTCCTCTTTCTGCAGCCGGAACTCCTCCAGGGCTGCCAGCTTTCCCCCTGCCCCGCCACAGGGCACGGGCCTGGTGAACGGCCGCCTCGGGAGGGCAGAGTCCCGGGGGTGGGGGCGGCAGGGCTTTGTGTGATGACGCACCCCACCCTTCCCCGTCCAGTAGGGCCAGTCCCCTGTCCCCACACGTAATCCTGCCCGCCTTTCTGGTTCAGTCTGGAATGCCCTTCCTCTTCTCCCCAAGTCTTACGAAGCCTGGTTCAGGCTCCACCTCCTCCAGGAAGCCCCCCTTGACACTCTCCTCTACTCTCATGAAACTGCCAACAGCCTCTGACTCTGAACACCTTCCCTGGACCAGGCACTCCTGTTGTCACCTGAAAGGCACAGCCACCCTTGCCAGCTGGGTGACCTTGGGCAAGACACTCCACTTTCTTGAAATGCCTCCTCACCTACCCAATGGCAGGTGGAGATGGTATTTTCTGCCTCAGGATTGCTGGGGCCATTACCATGGAAGATACGTGTGGGAAGCTGCACGTAGCTGTTGCTCAAGGAAGATGTATCATCCCCATTTCCCAGGTGGGAAAACAGGGTCAGAGAGCAGGGCTGGCCCAAGGTCAGAAAGACAGTGGGAGAGCTGGAGTTGGAGCCCAGAGAGACAGAGCCTTGGGTTTCCCACCCGCTGTGGTGTGTGCCTGTAGGCTCACCGGCCAGAGCCCCTCACCAAGGATGATGTTCTCGGTGGTGAGCTGGTCCTTGGTCTCCTGGAATTCGTGGCGCACCTGGGCTAGCTGTGCCTCAAAGGCATCCTTCTCCATCTCCTTGGCCAGCTGCAGGCTCTGGAGCTGCTCATTGAGGTCGGTGATCTCATCCACCCGCTGGTTGAGCGTGCGCTTGAGGAAGGCCACGATCTCCTTCTTGTTGTTGGCCAGCTGCTCAAACTCCTGGCGAAACAGCTTCTCCTGCATAGCCAACTCATCCCACTTCCGCTGGTACCTGAGGCAAATGTGGGGCAGAGGTCCAGGGGGCCTCCAGGCAGCCAGGCTGCTCCCTGGACCCTCCCATAGTGGGACTTTGGAGGTTCCAGCCCCATCTCCCCTGGTCAGTGCTTGTGACTGCAGCTGATGCCTGTGCTCAGCACTTTATGTGCATTAACATCACTAGGATGTAAGCTCTGTGAGGGTGGAGCCTCTGTTAATGTTCATAGCTGTGTCCCCAACACCTAGCACCTGGTATGTAGCAGGTGCTCAGTGTGTTTGTTGAATCCACAACAATCAAGGAAGCAGGGACTATGATGATTGTACCCATTTTACAGGTGAAGAAACTGAGGCACAGAGGGATGAAGCATCTCTGAGTTAGTAAATGGCAAAACCAGAACTGGAACCCAAGTCAGTCTGATACCCCAAAGTTAAGGGTCTTAAGCATAATGGTTGCTGCCAGCTCTGTGCCCTGCTTAATACTTTCACACTTTATAACCCCAAACTTCTGCACTTGTGATCTTCCTTACTTCACTGAGTGAACCCCTGTGTTGCCACCTCTGTGGAGCCTTCCTTGCCCTGAGGCAGCATTTGTGGTCCTCTCTTTGGGGCCCTCCTGTAGATTGACCCATGTCCCACTGGAAAGTCAAGACCTGACTCCTCGCATCTCTGTATTTTGGGGGGCCTGGAAGAGGAAGTTGACAAATAATAAGTGTCCAATAACCATCTCTCAAATGCATTTTTCCCAAACACATTTCATTTGGTATCTCCAGTTGAGGGAAGGGTGTGAATTTTTAAGAGCTGTCGAATAAGCAATTTTCTAGTTTCCAATGGAGTAATGGGTAGAAGCTATTTGGAAAGATGTTTAACTTCACGACTAACTCAACCAACATCTTCTGAATGGAAGCGTGGTGCAGGGTGCAAAGCTGATGACCTGATCTGTGGAGCAAGGAGGCGGCCTGGCTTAGGGAAGTCAGGGCCCAGGGCTGGCATCCCGGAGCCTCTTTCTTGGGGTGACTTCCTCTCCTCCCTGAGCCTCAGTCTCTCCATCAGTTGTAATGGGGATGACTCGAGGGCCTCTCTCGTGGGACTGTTTTAAGGACACAATGAGCACCAGTCCAGGAAGGTCTCAGCATCAGCTGTATTTGTAGCAACATGTGAGGAGACCTGACTGATAGTGTTAGTCAATCAGTCTTGCCTGACTCTCTGCATGGACTGTAGCCCGCCAGGCTTCTCTGTCCATGGGATTCTCCAGGCAAGAATACCGGAGTGGGTTTCCATTCCCTTCTCCAGGGGATCTTCCTGATCCAAGGATTGAACCTGGGTCTCCTGCACTGCAGGCAGATTCTTTGCCATCTGAGCCGCCACCGAAGGGGTGTGTCTTTTGAGGGTCACCCTATGACTGGGCTCGTGCATCATAACTGAGAGGAAACTAGTGTAAGAATAAGAAAAGTGGGCAAGTGCATGTCTCAGGAGAATTAGAGAACACACCCCCCCCCCACCCCGCCCTGACACCACCACCCACCTCGCACAGCTCTCCTCATTTACATTTGGGAAAATAGCCCTGGCATGGACAAGTGCGCTTGGCAGCTGGAAGAGCCAGTGGGGCCCATAGCTCAGGGGATCACGGCACAGGCATTGTGGGGGTGGTGGGGGGCGGGTGGGAGGAGGGGCATGTGGTCACCCGCCTGCCAGGGGGCTGCCATCTCCAATTCGTCCCTCTGGTTGAACTCTGCCCTCTTACATAAAACGCGTGGTCCTGGGGGGCAACTGTGAGGCAGGGGGGACATAGTCCTTGCCTGGGGAGGGGTTAGGCTCTTAACTAGGCACTGGGCTGCTGGAAACTCTGGGAGCCAAGATGGGGCCAAGAAATCCATTTTTCTTCAAAATCATGAAGCTTCCCAATGTTATCTTTGAGGAAACTGAGGTAGGGATGGGGGGTGGGTCTGGACATCCCCTGGAAGGCCAGAACACAGGGCCCCCCCAACAACCTCCACAGTGGTCAGCTCTGAGTCACTCCCTGACCTGGCAGGACCACCCTGCTCGCCCACCCACCGGGCCAGCCTGTCCTCCAGGTTGCGGATCTGGATGTGGTAGAACTCTCGGATCTCCTCGCTTATAGGCATTTCCATGGGCTTGTTGGCCACGCTGGGATCCTTCTTGCCACCTTTCTTCTTCTTGAGCTCAGGCTCCTTGGCCCCCTTCTTTTTAGGAGCCATGGCTGGAGGCAACCACTATGCCAGGGCCTCTTTAAGAGGCCAGGTGGTTGCTAAGGAAGTTCCTTGCATACATAGCAACAAGCTAAAGATGTGAAGCCAGGCTTAAAGGGACCTTCCCTCTTCCTGGCGAGGATAGGCTTCAGAGACCAGCCTCCTGCTGCAAGGCCAACAGTGACAGAGAGGCCACAGGTCTGGGTGTCCCAGACCATGGCGTCTCAGAGACCAGGACGCCAGGCTCACTGGGCGCTCTTTTGGGCTCTGGGAGACCCTTCCTTCCCTCAAGAGGAAATTGGTGACATGGGAATATTACAGTGGGTCAGAGCCCTAGAGGGGCTTCCCTTGTGGCTCAGACAGTAAAGAATCTGCCTACAATGCAGGAGACCCGGGGTTGATCCCTGGGCTGGGGAGATCCCCTGGAGAAGGAAATGGCAACCCACTCCAGTATTGTTGCCTGAGAATTCCATGGACAGAGAAGCCTGGAGGGCTACAGTCCATGGGGTCGTAAGAGTCAGACAGGACTTGGCGAGTGACCCAGACCACAAAGTCCAGCAGCTCCTCTGGCAGCCAGGTCTCGGGAGGGGAATGGGTGCAGTGCACACAGCCCGCAGACTGCAGTGTTAGCCCAGGTCAGTGGCCTGTGGACTCACGGCACTGCCACCTCTAGGAGGCTCTGGAGGGAGGAAGCCCAGCCCCAAGGGAGACAAGGAATCCAGGTATCACTAAACATGCCTGAAGAAATGCCCACCTCTCTGGAGCACACAACAGGATTCATTCATTCAGGGTGTGTGTGTGTGTGTGTGTGTGTGTCTGTGATATAATGCCACCCACCGCTAGTGTAAGCTCACGAGGACTCAGTCTCTCATTTGTGGCTGCATCCCCAGAACCTAGGAAGAAGACTGGCACATGGTTGTTCAATTCAGTTTCTCAGTCATGTCTGACTCTTTGCAACCCCATGGACTGCAGCACACCAGGCCTCCCTGTCCATCACCAACTCATGGAGCTTGCTCAAACTCATGGCCATTGAGTCAGTGATGCCATCCAACCATCTCATCCTCTGTCATCCCCTTCTCCCCCTGCCTTTAATCTTTCCCAGCATCAGGGTCTTTTTCAGTGAGTCAGTTCTTTGCATCAGGTGGCCAAAGGACTGGAGTTTCAGCTTCAGCATCAGTCCTTCCAATGAATATTCAGGACTGATTTCCCTTAGGATGGACTGGTTTGATCTCCTTAGTAGGTGCTCAGTAAATATCTATTAGCTGAATAAGATAGCCTGGGTGGGAGTCTGGAATGGCACAGGAAAATAGCTCAATGGACTCTCCCTCTGGCAAAACAACAATTGGTGAAGATTATTTCTTAAGAAAGAAACAATCATTTAAAGTGTCTGGAGATACAAATTAACTTATTTACAAAACAGAAAAGGAGTCACAGATGTACGAAAAGGGCAGGGGGATGAATTCCCTGGGATAAATTCGGAGATTGGGATTAACATACACACATGGCAAGTATACTGGAGTGGGTTGCCATGCCCTCCTCCAACCTAGGGATCTTTCCAACCCAGGGATTGAACTCACGTCTCTTATGCCTCCTGCATTGGCAGGCAGGTTCTTTACAACTATTGCCACCTGGGAAGCCCCATATATAAGACAGATAACTAACAAGGACCTACAGCATGGCACAAGGAACTCTACTCAGTACTCTGAAATAATTTACATGAGAAAAGAATCTAAAAGAGAGTGGACAGAGGTGTAGGTATAACTGGTTCACTCTGCTGTACACTGCAAACTACTAACAGTGACACCATTAATCAATTATACTCCAATAAAAAAAATAGTGTCTAGAAATTGTTCTAAGGCATACAGTAAATGCAGAAACATCTAAGAAAAATCTACAAAATTTCTGCAAGTATGAGTCTAGTATTTGAGCAACAATGCACTTCCTTATCAGCTGTGATATATATTATCACATATTATATATATATACATACACACACATGCATATTTGCATTTTGCCTGAGGGCAAGGTGCAAACACAGATCCCACCAGATGACACCGTGTTTGATATCATCACAGATGAGGGGTTGTGCCAGATACAGGAGTCCGGCTCCTCCTTGCCTGAAACACTGAGACTGATTCTCTTGACCCAAATGTGGCTAAACAGTGAGTAGACATCACCTCCATTTCCTGAGTTATCATTAAGTGCCTGGTATTGTGCCTTCTTTCTTTTTTAAAAAAATATTTGAGTTCACGGGGTCTTAGTTGCAGCACACAGGATCTTTCATTGTGGCATGTGAACTCTTAGTTGCGTGTGAGATCTAGTTCCCTGACCAGGGATTGAAGCCAGGCCCGCTGTATGGGAGCTTGAGTCTTAACCACTGGACCACCAGGGAAATCCCTGGCCTTGTGCTTTCTCATCAAAGGATTAGGAAAGCTCGGAAGCAGGATCAAAGCCCGTCTTTGATTAAGGGAAGGTGTCTGAGAACAGTGCTCGGGGCGGGTAGTCCTTGAATAACACCAAGGAGAGTGCTTGGAGAGTGGTCAGTGTTGAGCCTTGTCAGAGAGTTTCTGGGCGCATCTGTCAGCAGTCCTCCTGATTTCAGCAACGCTATGAAGCTTTTCTTGCCTTGGGCAACTATATTATCCACTTAATGCCGCCATAACAGAATGCCATACACTAGACGACTTCAACCACAGATATCTGATTTGTCAAGTTCTGGAAGTTGAAGGCCAAGGTGTCAGCAGGTTTAGTTTCACGAGGCCTCCCCTTGGCTTGCAGACAGCTGCTCTCTTCCTGTCTCTTCATGTGGTCGGTTGGACCCTGGGCATGTGCACCTTTACCTCTCTGGGTCCTAATCTTCTCTTCTTATAAGGATAGCAGTCAGATTGGATTAGGGCCCACCTTATTGACCTCATTTTAACTAACTTGTTTAATGGTCTTGGGCTTCCGTGGTGGCTCAGTTGGTGAAGAATCTGCCTGCAGTGCGGGAGACCTGGGTTCGACCCCTGGGTTGGGAAGATCCCTTGGAGGAGGAAATGGCAACCCACTCCAGTATTCTTGCCTGGAGAATCCCATGAGGTCACAAACAGTCAGACACGACAGAGCAACTTTTCACTTTCACTTCACTAGATTTCTGACACAGGTCTCCTAAAACCCTTGGAATTTCCTGAGAGGCTTGTCTTCTGCTCTTCATAACAAGCCCCTTCCCACATACCTGGGTTTATGCTGATGAGGTTAAGAGGGGAGGGGCAAGAGCTTCAAGGTGGGGACTGCTCATCACAAACACCAGGCAGAGGATTAGAGGGTTAGAACTTTCTGCAACTCCCACCCCCACCCCTTAACCTGTGGAGAGGGCAGAGGGGCTGTAGACCAAGTGTCAATTACTAGTGGCCGATGATTTAATCAACTCTGCCTATGTAATGATGCCTGCATAAAATCTTCTAAACAACAGAGTTTGGGGGGGACTTCTGGGTTAGTGGGCAAAGGAGGTGCTGGGAGGTTGGTGTGCCTGGGAAGGGCATGGAAGTTCTGGGTTACTCCCCGCCCCACCTCCAAGTCCATACCCTGCCCTGTGTGTCCCTTCCGTTTGGCTGTTCTCGGTGGTATCCTTTGTAATAAACCAGTCACAGCAAAGAAAGTGCTTTCCTTCATTCTGTAAGTTGTTCTAATGAACTACCAAACCCGGGGAGGGGGTTGTGAGACCCCTCGAATTGTAATCAGCTGGGCAGGGTAGTGTGGGCGCCCCTTTGATGCCTGAAGCGGGGGCAGTTTTGTGGGACTGTGCCCTTGATCCGTGGGAATCTGCACTCACTGAATAATTAGTGTCAGAACTGATGTAACTGTCAGACACCTAGTTGGAGCCAAAGACTTGGAGAAATGGTGTGAAAAGTGATATGTATTTGGTGTCAGGAAAAATAAAAAGGCTCACTCCCCTCACCAGTTCTGTGTAATGCAAGTTTTACCTGGTGTACTCCTCTGGGCAGGCATGGCCAGGAAGATGGGGGCTCTGGTTTCTCCCTGGGAGGGGCAGACAGCCACCCTATTTCCCCTTCCCCCTCCCCCACGTTGCAGGATGTCTATTGCCCATAGGCGGGGCAGAGGGCCTCCCCATACCAGCCCACAGAGGGTACAGGTCCCACTCCAGGTGTGGCAGGTCACAAATACCTGTACCCTGATGGCTCTCATCTCAGCTAGCTCCTAGGATGGAGGTTCCACACCGGCAGGGGCAAGCTGAGGAGAGCAGGGACTGCTACCCCGGAGCCCACTTGTAGAGCAGGTGTCACTCCAGGAAAAGTAGGTCTGTCCAGTCTGGGTGCGGTAGCACATGGCTTCTGCACTGGGGAAAGGCAGTCTGTAAGGACAGGGTGCTCCACAGCTCTGCCCGAGGCAGCTGACTTTATTTGGATCAGAGCTTTGAAAACTCCTTGTCTAAAGGTGTTGTCAAAACCAATGGAGATCTTGGTGGAGAGGGGTTAAGAGAAGGCTGGCAGCCCTGTGATGCAGTCTGGTTTGTTTGCTTTTAAAAAAATGTTTATTTACCTGGCCATGCCAGGTCCTATGCAGCACACGGGATCTTTGGTCTTAATTTCAGGATGTGAGTTCTTCAGTTGTGGCATGCGAACTCTTTAGTTGAGGCATGTGGGGGTCTAGTTCCCTGACTAGGGATTGAACCTCGGGCCCCCTGCATTGGGAGCTTAGAGTTTTAGCCACTGGACCACCAGGGAAGCACCTAGTTTTTTAACAGGGTTCTTAGCAGCATTACCTCTGGTGCCACTTTTTCCTCCAAGGAATGTAATTCTGCAGTATGTAGTTTGGGTTTCTCCCCCACCTTTAGGGATGGACTTAATTGGTTTAATTCTATAATGTATTCTTTTGTGATTGGTATTGGGGGCATTTGCTTGGCTTATGGATGAGGTCACCCTGCTTCATTTGAAATTGATTGACATATTTCCAGTGTCACCATGAGCCTAATGTAAGGGTCCCCCTTTTCACGCTGGGCCAAACTCATCACAGTCTCCCCAAGTCACCAAAAGGCTTCATGACCAGCAGGACATGCCTTCCAGATCTGACAGTTCATTGGAAGGCTAGGTGGTGTGGCAGCAGGAAGAGAGGAGAACACTAAGACTGATGCAGTGACCTCATCACACGCCCTGAATGCACTGTCACCACATGCTCACGGAGGGCGCCACCTGCCAAGACACAGCCCTGCCGTCTCCGAGGCTGAAGACAACCTACATACAGAGACCCAGGACGAAGGAAGAACTGCCTGCTCTCAGGCAGCATAGTGCACGCTCTGTGGATCGTCTGCAGATGATCTAGATCCTGATGTAAGTCGCAGTGACCTGGATCCAGAAGGCTCCAAGCCATGGCTGGCGGCAGCTGGGCTCCTCCCCACTGGACTATATCGATGAAGCCTTTCTCCTCCTGCTCCCCAAGGAGAAACCAGGCGGCGAGTCACCCTGGACACCATGCATGGGCGCTGATTTATTTCTTTATTAGACTCGAGTGCTTTAGTACAGAACGGTACAGAGATGATACACGTTTGTGCTTCAATACTTTCAAACACTGAGATTCTGATAATTTCAAGGTAAACAAGTTTCAAGACAGACTAGCTTTTTTTAAAATATCCTTTTGATAAATTATTTTTTATATAAATAACAGAGAAAGGAAAACCAACGTGTTGGACAAACAAGGTCCTAAAGCACGAGCGTCATTTGGTCAAGGGCAGGGGACAAAACAAGCAGTTTTAACAGGAAGAAACCAAGGCATGTCCTTACAGTCTGTCCTAAGGAAATAAGATCTTGTAAGGAAGCGGGGCAGGGAGACAGACCTGCAAACTAATCTGAGTGCAAAGGGGGAAGATTTCAAAGCCTTGAGAAGAGAACGCCACGATGCATCTAACGGGGCGGGCAGAGGATATATTCTGAAAGGGAAGAGGGGGTGGCGGAGAACTAGCACACACACACGTTTGCAACGACGATGCCACAAGACAGTAATATACACACACGGTCTGGGGGGGGTTTAAGGGCATGGGGGGGTGCGGGACATTTTTTGTGACTTCCACTGTCGTTATAGTTCACAGCAGCAGCAGAACAGAGTGTGCTCCCTTCCGGAGAACGAGCCGCTGAGTCCTGAGGACGAGGAAACATCCTTCCTGCATTGGCCTCTTTGATTTCTGCATCAACAGCTAAGATTTATACAGCTACGTCTTTATACAAAGAGTAAAATGATTGTTTTCTTCTTACAAGCATGACGACATACGACCCCACACTACACAAAATAAAGTATTAGGGAGTATCTTAAACAGAGGATGATCTGGGGTGGGACTGGGGTCTGTGTAAACCCAGCAGGCTACTCTTCGTGTAGTTTGAAGCCTCAGGGGCGCAGACAGGAAAGGGACCTCTGAACCAGGAGCCTGCTGGACCCCCCAAGTCCTAGTCCGTTGCTGAGCCAGGGGCTCGATCCAGGCTGACCTCACCGAGAGGAGCTCTGGAGGTGGTGTGGGGGTGATGCCTGGGGAAGGATGGGGTCTGAAAGACCAGGTCTAACTGGAGACGCAGGTCCCCAGTGGAAGCCTGCTCCTCTCTCATCCAGGCGCGGTGACAGGCCGCAGACAGGACCACAGCGCTGTGGCCGAGCCAGGGAGGGCGCTGAGACAGGGCACCCAGCCCGACTTCCCATGGCCAACCCCCAGCCCCCACCCCCAGCCCCGGGGGATGGGGGGAGTGAGCCCCTTGGGGAGAGAGAGCAGAGGTCGGCTCCAGCGCAAACCTCTCGAGATTTCACCTGAGCTTCACTTCCAAGCTCACGTGAATGAGAGCCGGCACGGAGGGGGAGGAGCTGGAGTGGGAAGAGACACCCTCAGTCTGACACACTCCAAGAACGGACAGCTCAGACTCCCAACACGAATGGAGCGATCCCAAACGGGTTCTTAAAAAACGTCTACCTTCCCATACGCAAGCAAATGTACACACGTCACGCTGGGCTATGTACAAGGTCATAAAATCATGACTAATGGGGAGGAGGTGTCCATCCACCCTAAATGGTTCCAGGAACCCGGGGGCAGCACGGCCCTCGCCCCAAACGTCTCCTCCAGGATACACATAGAAGGGACTCTTTAAAAAAAAAAAATCAAAAAACAATGCATTCTTTTGTTTCAAACAAGAAAAAGAGGGCATCACCAAACACGAGAACGCAGCAGTGACAGTGCCGGCCGGGCGTGCAGAGCCGGGGGAGGCGATGGAGGGAGGAGGGGGTCAGCGAAGGGACAGAGGCCGTCGGGGCTGCGAGCACTTCGGGGAGAGGGTTCGTTTTTGTTTGGAGGGACGGCTTATTTTTTAACTGCTTATTTCTTCATCTGTTTTATTCAGTTTCTTCAGCGTGTCCAGAAGTTTCTGTGGGGTGAGAATGTGTGTGGATCCTGGGGAGGCAGAAAAGACCTGTGAGCTGGCTGCCTCTGGTTTCAAACACTTTCCCCCTTCCCTGCCCATGTCCATTCTCATAGCTGCAGCCGCCCCCCCCTCCCCTGGCCTCGGTCGACTGGACACAGAGAGGGGGGTGGGGGCTGGGATTTGGGGCCACGTCACAACTGGCCCAGGAGACATTTGGGGGCCGTGGGTGAACAGAACCCTCCTCTGGCTTGGGCAGGGTCCCCCGGGCTGTACCGAGGAAGGAGCTCTCTCTCCATCCAGGCTCAGTGCCATCTGCCAGGGGACAGGGCAGCCATCCTTCTAATTCTCTCCTGAATTCAAAGTGAAGCCAGGGAGAGAAGTGCCAAACCACATGGTGGGGGAGAGGGCGGTAAATGGGGCAGGGGTTCGCAGGGGGGCTGTGTGTGGAAAGAGAGGGCCAGGTCGGGAGGAAGTGGATGGACAGAGCACCCGGCGGAAGCCACTGCACTCTGGGGGCCAGCTGGCTGGGGCTTCATGGTGGGAGGGACCTCAGGTGTGAAAGGGGGAGGGCCGGGGAACCTGAGGCCTTACCTTGCAGAGACCCGCACATTGTAAGAGGTTAGAAATGCTTGCAAAAATTTAAGCTAATGGAATTAGATATAATTTTACTGCAAAAATAAAAAAATAAAAATAAATGAAGTCCTTTTTCGTAAAGAGAGATCTAATAAGTGCAGTAAAAAAAGATGCATGGATCGTGTGGTTTGGACATGGACTTACTCAAAAAAGAACAGAAGTGACTGGTGTGTGAGCATGAGGCCTGCACGCATGCAGCAGAAGGCTTCAAAGAAAGAGATCCCGGTGGGAGAGAACTGAACAAAAGAGACCCGTCCTTGAAAATGTGCCTCCCTGGAGATGCGGGCAAGGGCGCAGGCCTTCCTGGGAAGAGGGGACCAGAAACCACAGGAGGCCAGATTTCCACCCTGAGGGCGGGCAGAAGAAGGCTTTGGTGGGCTACTTGGGAGTGATTCCAAATAGCAGGGTCCTTACGCTTTTGACCACTACTTGCGTAGCTGATCCCTGACGGCTGGCACTGCAGATCTGGAGCCTTCCCGGTCAGCGCAGACCAGGGGGACACTGGAGAAGCCATCTCTGGTGTGATAGGCTTCTCTGCAGCTCAAGTCCCAACCACTGCTCTGAGTGAGGAACCAGTCCCTCCCTGGCTGCTTCCCTGAGGGGCCGAGCGGGACGTCCCGAGTGAGCGTGCAGCCTGTGCCAGCCCCACGCCCAAAGCTGACTCTTTCTGCAGGCTCAAGGCTCCTTTGGCAAAGGCGACACCAGTTTCAGTAGGGTGTTCCCCTCTGCCCTGAAGACACTCATTTCTGTGACCTTATTAATCTTCCTGCTAGTCCTAAAGGTCAAAGTCTGCTCCCCAGATGAGGAAACAGGAATAAAAATTACCAAATTCTGACCAGGACCACTGGCAGAATGAAAGTCTCCAAGTCTCAGCTGCATGCAGTTTAGGTGTCTACAGCTGAGAGATGGCTGCTGGGAACTCTGGGCTGGGATTAGCTTGGGGGCTTCTGAGGCTATGCACATGCCAGAAAAACCATCCTTAACGTCCTCCCCCATAGCCATCTGCTAGATTCCAGGAAACAAGAGGGCAGACTTGATGTAGAGGGGAATCGAAAGGGCTCTGATCAGATGTCTAGACCATCGTGCTTCCTAACCTTGCTTCCATGCAGATTCAGGACTGGGGGAAGGCCAAAAAGAGGTGAAGGAATTCATTCTTTAGAACTGGATATTATCTGATTGTCTGGTGCTCCCAATCTTTCATTGAAAGCAGAAAACATCCAGGACCAAGTGAAAGTGTTAGTCATTCTGTCATGTCCTACTCTTTGCGACCCCATGGACTGTAGCCCTCCAGTCTCCTCTGTCCATGGGATTCTCTAGGCAAGAATACTGGAGTGGGCTGCTATTCCTGTCTCCAAAGGGATTTTCTTGACTCAGGGATCACACCCAGGTCTCCTGCATTAGCAGGCAGGTTCTCTACCATCTGAGCCAGGACCAAGAGTATAAGGAAACCCGTGAGGCCTCTAGGGCTCCTCACACAGGCATGCTCCTGGTTCCTTTAAGGCCCCTCACTACCCGGTCCCTTTAAAGGATGCAGACCAGCTGGTGTTAATCTGAAATCACCTGAGACCCAATTCCTGCCACGCAATCAGCGATATCACTTTAATACCCTGGTCAAACTTCTCAGCACCACAAACACTGCAAACATTCTCACTTGAACCCAAAGGTGGCCGACCATGCAGGCCTCTAGAACCGCTCTGAGGTTCCCCCTTATTCTACATAACCGCAAATCTGAAATGTGAACGGTGATCTTCAAAACAAAGTCATCCAAAGACTGTCAAAGCTTGCAGCCAGACACAGTGAGCTCTGCCAGGACAAAATGCTTCCTCCTCACTGACAGCATCTGAAAACCAGAAGAATTCTGACAGACCAGCTGACCCAGCTGGTTCTGGAATTGCCTGAATCAGTCCTGCAGACTCAGACTATTGAGGGCGGTGTCAGGGAATAGTAGGTTTAAACTGCACATTTAAGAGCAGCCCAGGTGAGTGAGATGATCTGCCAGGTGTGGGAAGACAGTGGCCTTGCCCACTGGCATCCTACAGATGGGAAAAAGATGCTCATGGTGGTGGGGCATGTTGGTGGCACAGCCAGGCCTATAAGCCATGCCTCTGCTTTAGATTCTGGGGGCCCTGTGGCCTCCTGCCCCAGGAGGGGATGTGGAAGGGAATGCTGAAACAGCAGCTGGGAACTGAGTCAGCTCTGAATTCAGATTCAAATCTGAGTCCCACTGAAAAAATGGAACTTATCTGACCCTGATCTAAAATAAAGCAAAGTATTCAACATAAAAACAAAACAAAAAAACTTCTTCCTCCTGTAAGTGCTGTGTAATAGGTCTAAGTTGGCCTTGCAGCCCCCTTCATTAGCTTCTGACCGTCTTCTGGACATTCGCTAATAGTCAGTCCTTTTAACATAAACCGTCCACAGCACAGAGGTGCAGTGCTGATCAAAATATTTCATTTCTTAGCTGGGAGGAATTGATTAGTGGAGGATTGATTAGTGGAGACTGAGCCGAGACTTGGTGGCATCTGTACACTTAGTTATCCACGCCTGCCCCCTTCGGCCAGGGCCAGGGGGAGCAGGCCTCAGCTCCAGGACAGAAAGCGATGAGGAGGAGAGGGAGGGGCCAGGAGGAGGAGGGGCCAGGAGGAGGAGCCAGGAGGAGAGGGAGGGGCCAGGAGGAGAGGGAGGAGCCAGAGGAGGGGGGGCAGAAGGAGAGGGAGGAGCCAGGAGAGTGGAGCACAACACTGGCATCCACACACAGTGCCCACGAGGACACTCGTTCACTGCCGAGCGGGGAAAACCCATCTCTAAAAGCTAAGTTTCTGCTCACACTGATGTGTGGGAGACCACCCTGCCTCTCCAACACCCTGTACTGTTTTAGGCTTTAGTCACCTGGACAATTACCTCAGAAGTGGGCAGGTTGGACATTCATCTGCTTTTTAACTTCCCTGGGATGAGGACTCCGGGCCTCGCTTTTTCTTAACTGAACTCTAAAATACAGCGCTGCCCAACAAAGCATCGCAGAAGGCAAGAACATACAGTCTGTAGTGCTCTCTCTACTCTAATGGCAGCCAAGACACTCTCTGCTGATTGAACGTAAAACAGAAAGCAAAGGAGAGGTGTCTCCGATTGTAAGGAATCTCAGGACGAATCCGAGCAGGAGCCCTTGGGGTCTGGGTTTGTGATTCTTTCCGACTCTGCAAGGGGTCTGCCAGTGCTTCGGCCATGTTCTTTGCTGCTGCTGCTGCTGCTGCTGCTAAGTTGCTTCAGTCGTGTCCGACTCTGTGCGACCCCAGAGACGGCAGCCCACCAGGCTCTCCCATCCCTGGGATTCTCCAGGCAAGAACACTGCTGGGTTGCCATTTCCTTCTCCAGTGCATGAAAGTGAAAAGTGAAAGTGAAGTCGCTCAGTTGTTTCCGACTCTTAGCGACCCCGTGGACTGCAGCCTACCAGGCTCCTCCATCCATGGGATTTTCCAGGCAAGAGTACTGGAGTGGGGTGCCATTGCCTTCTCCGCATGTGCGTTTAGGAGTCTCGAAATACAGCAAATGCTATCCACCTACCTGCCATCTGCATGAGAACCATATCTCTCTGATTATCATCCTATCAAGGTGCTTCTTAAGGATGACTTTTTTTAAACACTTGCTTTTATTCATCACCCACTGGCCTCGCTTTCTAGGCAAAGGCAGCCTGGGCAGGATGGCAGGTAGCCCAGGGCCATGGCCAGCCTCACTGTCCTGGCTCACAGGCCCTTGCTGCTCCTCACCTCCCTGCTTCCCGGAGCAGCTATCTCTCGTTCAAGGCAGAGAAAGAGGAGATGAACAACCCCGCTTCCAGGGCCAACCTTTAGAGCAGGTCCTTCATAGATGGAGTTCATTCTTTTTAAAATAAACAAGTGCACTTCTGACATTACCCAGCCAGGGTTCTGATGTCCATTCCCCAGAGAATGGAGGGAGGGCTTGCCAGAGAGTGGGGCAGAGCTGCCTGGTTTGAGCCTCCAACTGAATGACGGCATCACAGATGGTCAGAGCCCAAGGGTCTCTGCGATCCAGCCTCCCTGTGTTCTGTGTGCTGTAGCCAGTGGGAACAACCTCCCCACTCACACAGGTGCTTGTGGTCAAGCTGGGGCTAGAGTCCTGGTCTGTCTGCTACTCACTCACAGGTGGCTCACAGGGCCACATCTCAGCCTGTGGGGGCGGGGGGCGGGGGGCTGGGGAAGGGGACATTTCCAGAGTCCATGGTCAAGGGAATAGAGTGCATGCACACAAGATGTGGCCTCATCACAGAGTGTGTAGTGAAGCTAGAAATGACTCATGCTGCAGTGAGGTCTTTGGGGCCAGTCTGCTGTCTGAACAGGTCGGGGAGGTTCCCAGCATGATGGAAGAGTGGAAAAGAGAGAGCAAGGAACTCTTACTCTCTCAAGGGCAAGAATAAAACCTGGATAACCTACCAAACCCACAACAGGTTCCCAGGTAACTGTGATAAAGGCATGAGCTCGTGGGAGAGGAGACACTCTTCAAAACAGCTCACAGTGTTGAGAACAGATTTCTACCCAAAGGTTCTCAATCTGACTAGGAGACTCCAGCTGGAGAGAGGGGTATGTTTCTCAACTCTTGGAAGTATCCACAGGAGAATTAAAAGTAGTTACTGAAAGAGCAAATGACTAATAAGTGCTGCTTTCCCTAGACGAACAGGAGACACCAGATCTTTCCACTGGTGGCTGGGGTTCACCACGAACCAGATGGCTTACGACCCCATCACCCCTTAGAAATTGTTCCTTGGGATAAGTGCCTGTCCTGGGCAAAACGTGTTGACACATTTAACTACCAAAGACTGGGGGTCTATTCTGATGCCCTGTGCCAAGCCTTCCTCATCATCAGGAATTCACTCCATGGCCAGCAGGCTTAGGTGCCGTGCCTGTAGCATCCCTCCACGTCCAGCCCCCTCTGGAGGACTGTGCATAGCGGTTGTGATCATTTAAAGCTCAGGGGGCTGCAGCTGTCTCAGCAGCAGGTGACCTGTGGCATGAGCGAGCTGGCAAGCCAGAGCCCAGCAGAGCTCGGGCAGGGTTGGTGAAGGGCAGCGTCAGGACACATTTTCAATCGGTGTGAAGAACTGCAAGCATTTTCTCGTTAAAAGAAAATCAAATAAATAATAAACTGAAAAGGGGAAAAAAATGAAAAGAAAAAGAGTGACGGAATAAATCAAAGAAAACCCTTCAGAGTGGAAGAGTTTCTTTTCTGTAATAAGCTGCTTTTACTTTGTTTCTTTGGCTCTCACTCCATTGTTGGAGCCTGATCCTCAAAAGATACCCTAGAGGACTCCCGGAAGTCGGGGTGTCTCAGGTCCATGAGAAATTTGGTGGGAGTGAGAATATGAGTAGAACCTGCGGGAGAACAGAGGCCGGCTGACTGCTTGAACACAGTACGTTACGGGAGCATGCCAACTTAGGCCTACGTTTATGCAGCCAATGAGGTGCGAGAGAGCGAGCCGCATGCGCACACGCGAGGTGCACACGCGGCGCACGCGCACACGGGCCGCGAGGACGGCGGGCGGGCATGCATGCACAGAGCGGGCAGGGCCTCATAGCGGGCGTCGGCGGTCTGCACCAGGCCTCTCCACCCATCTGCACGGGCGCCGTGTCTCCCCGGGTCTCCACCTCCCAACAGGGACCCTCAGGTCAGGTCAGCGTGGAAGAGGGGGTTACAACGAAGCCTGGCTGGGACGGCGTCGGCCCAGGACAGCTGTGTTTGAGCAGAGAGAATTAGCCAACACGCTCATGCAACACATATGCAAGCCAAGAACACAGAGAGCTCCACCATGGGGGGCCTATGCAACCAAAACAGGAGAAAACCCAGGAGAAATAGTGGCCAGAGAGGCTTCTGGGAGTAGGGAGGGGCGGGGGTGGAGATGTGCGATCTCCCCGCTGAATGGTGGGATCTGGAAGCTGAGAGTTGTGAAGACAGTGCCAGGTCCATCTTGATACACCCAGAAAGGACCACGTGGACTGGTTCCCCCCAAAGTGGAGGCATAAAACTGACACCTCTTACTGAGCAAAGGGGCAAGGGCAGGGCCCAGCCAGGAGAGGAGGTGCTGGTCACCTCTGGTCAGTCAATGTCAAAAGGCATCCTGGGCAGAGGCAACTCCAGTTTGTTAAGGCACAAGAAAGAAGGCATCTGGAGAAAGCAAAGATTTTTCTCAATGTTTCCTCTTCCGGGCGGAGAAACTGGGGAGGCTCCTATAGACATGAAAAAGAGGAAAATCTTCTCCTGCTGCCTTAAGTCAGAGCTTAGGAGCTGCTTCCTTTCTTCTGGAAAACCAGCAGGGATATGATAGACCCTGAAGTGGTAGGAACTGGCTGGGGCAGCCCTCAGCAGAGCCCAGATGCCAGGCGGATACGTTTTGAGCAGTATCTGCTTGCACGCCTGGTCTGTGTATCTCTAACTGACAGGTACAGGGGCCAGTGCTCATTGACCTGTTCACTGAGCATCTTCCGGATGTGAGGCTCCTCGAGGCCAGGTAACTGATGTGCCCCTCCACCCCAGGCCCAGTTTGGGCTGTAAGTGGGTGCCCTTAACCCAGTTTTGGTGGGTGAGGAAATCGCAGCGTGGAGAGGGTGGCACTTTTGAAGGGACCCGAGTGGCAGTGACAGAGCAGGAATGCTGAGTCTGTCGGGGCCTGGGACCAGGCACTTCCCACACGTGGGGCTGCCGCTCATCAGGAAGCACAGAGCAGAGCTGAGGAAGGGCCCCCTTCACCCCTCCTTGGCTGCCATCCACGGACGTGGCCAAGTGTTGGGGGGGAGTGGAGAACTGGAGATAGGATGAAACACCAAAGCGTGGAATGGAGTCACAGTGCAGTGAAGCAGCCCTTCCCTCTAGAAAACACGCCCCACTCACCTATGAGCACTTCCCACTTGCCGTTGGCTTGGGTCACCTCGTAAGCACAGCGCATCTCGTTCAGGCTCACGCCCCCCAGAATGAAGATAATAAGGCGTGGACCACTGCGGTACTCCCCGGGGGCCTTGTTCTTGTGCCAGTGCCCATAGCGGGCACTGGGGGGGGGGGGAGGGAGGGGGAGGGGGAGAGAAGGCTGTTAATCATGTGTATCTGCATATACAGCATTTATACTTCACCATTCCATGACGTAATTCCCCTAGTGGCTCAGATTCCGGTAAAGAATCGGCCTGCAATGCAGGAGACCCGGGTTTGATCCCTGGGTTGGGAAGATCCTCTGGAGAAGGGCATGGCAACCCACTCCAGTATTCTTGCATGGAGAATTCCATGGACAGAGGAGCCTGGCAGGCTACAGTCCACGGGGTCACAAAGAGTTGGACACAACTGAGCAACTAACGCTTTCATTCCATGACGTAGGACTCAATTCTATACACCAGTGACTAAAAACAGAGCAGATGCTTAGCAACTGCTGTCTGAACTGGACTGCAGTGCAAAAGTATCAAGTGCTTTGGCTGCTGGGAGAAGAATCATCATGAGCGCCTGTGGTGTGACCCTGTCATTCTCTTAGAAACATGCAGGCAACAGACAGGTTCAGGGTGGCTTTAAAGCCAGACACTCAGCAGCTCCACCCACTGGATGATGGTCTTGGTGTCTCTCCCGAGTTGTAGAGTTCTGGGACACTCTGCTGGAAGGAGCAGTGACCATAGAGTCCCGGGCCTGTCTGCAGGTGGCACATTGATTCACCAGGTAGATGTACACCGCAGGCCTCACGGGGCCACCCCAGCACTGAGGAGCTGAGTGAGATCCCAAGAGCTTGTGGCTTAACTGAAGTGTTGGGTTGAGGAGAGTGCACGGAGGACGGTCTGCCTCGCACTGCATGGAGGTGCTGTGGGGACAGGCACAGGGAAGGGCCATCTCGCACCACCCGGGTGTCGCCGGGGAAGGCTTCCTGGAGGAGGAGGTGCCGAGCTGCCTCCTGAAAGACGGGCATCTCAGCGGCAGGACAGTTCCCCAGTGCCTCCTCCTCTGCCCTGGCTTTCAATGGTCCTTTGCCTTGTCCTTGTAAACAGTGAGAAATGGGCTGCTTCCAGGTTAAGAAAAATGAGGAAAACAAAACTCAAAACAGAACGAGGAGAGCAAGGCTCCTCTGGACAGTGGAACCTTCCCCCTTCTTCCTGAGTTATAACAGCACTGAAGTCACTTTTCAAATCTTGAAGGCCCTGGGGGCCTGTCTGGACCAGCCCCAAGGATCACAGTCATTTTTTTTTGCCTGTGAGATCATCTGTCTGCCGTCATCGGCAGTCTGCTTGCGATACCATGTGGGATTTTGTATTCCACTCCAGTGTTGGCAATAAACATCTGTCCTCCACTGGCATTGGGGCAGGGGGATGTGCCATGCAGGCCTGAGAGTGATGACAGAGGTGGGTGGAGAGAGAAGACGGGCGGGCGGGGAAAGTATGCGCAGAGGGACGGAGGTGCATGTTCTAGAAAGTCTGACCCGGGAACCTGGGCCACACAGAAGAGGGCAGCAGAGAGTCGAGGTGACCTGTGTTCATAGTGTGAGAGTCCCAGGGACTGGCCTGTGGACACATGGCCCACAGAGCAGGAAAGACCTCTGGATGAAGACAGCAAGGAGGTGAATGAGAGGAGGACTTTTCAAAAACATACACATGAGGCATCATAGGCAGCCAAGAAAACACAGAGGGTTGGAGGACCGGGAGAAGGAAGCATGGACTGCTTTCTGCTCACATCTCCAACCTGATAAATGTCTGAGCATCAGCAGGTACACGGACAGGACGTGGAGGTAGGGGCTGTAATTTTTCCATTATTTTCTGTAACACCTTTATGGACAGGTAATTCATGTATCATACAATTCACTTGTTTAAATTGTAGAATTCTCTGGTGTTCAGTATAGTCACAGAATTGTGAACCATCATCACAATCAATTTTAGACCATTTCATCACCCCCCCAAAGAAATCCTGTACCTAGTAGCAGTAACCCCTATCTCCCAACCCTCACCCCTGTTCCAAGCAACCACTTATCTACTTCTCTCTTGAGACTTGCCCATTCTAGACATCTCATATAAACAGAATGATAGAATATGTGGGCTTTAGTGATTGGCTTCTTTCACTTTGTATTTTCAAGGTTCATCCATGTTGTAGCATGGATCAGTATTTCATTCCTATCTTTGGCTGAATGATACCCCATTGTTTGAATGTACCATATGTTGTTTATCCATTCATCAGATGATGGACATCGGGGTCATTCCCACTTTTGAGCTATTATGAATAATACTGCTAGGAAGGTTGGTGTACTGTCATTTTGAATGGTGTGGTTAGGGAAGATGGGAGAAAGTAATAATTGATTAAGGACCTGGAGGAGATAGCAGCCATGCGGATATATCTGGGGACAGACCATTTCAGGCAGGGGGGAAAAGCAAATGCAGAGGTTCCTGAGGCAGAATCGAGCCTGGCGTGTTCCGGGGAGGGCAAGGAGGCTGATGTGGCTGAAGTGGAGGAGGAAGAAGAGGAGTAAGGAGTGAGAGATGGAACAGGAAGCCACGAGGCAGAGGGCCTCCCCGACTACTGCAGGGGCTTTGCCTACACCCTGGCTGTGACGAGAAGCTGCAGGAGGGTTCCCGCAGACCACGCAGCATCACGGCAGGGCTACCGTGTAGCTGCCGTCCAGCCGGACACGGTCCTGCTCGCCCCTCCTGCCCTCACTCGGGCTCTCGCTCACCTGACAGCGGTGGTGCTGAAGGAGGCAGAGGAGCGGGTGGAGATGTACGGGTAGTGCTTGGTATCGAGTTTGTCTTCAATAGTGTCCTGGAGAGAGAGAGACGGCTTTGAAAAGGGCTGATGGAACCAAGGTAAGACGATTCCAAGGGCAAGTCACTTAGCCAAAACCATGGCCAGCTTTGCAAGAACCGGAGCTCCTCTGCCTGCTAGGGGGTGACTCCTGCCCTGCTGGGGGAGCAGATGCCCTGGGACCAGCAGATACAAGATGAGTTTATAGGTCTGCTCTTGAAGAGAAGTTATTTTTTTAAAACCCTGCATTAATTTTTCTAGCTTCTTTTTCAGTTTACTCTTTTTTCCCCTTTATATTCCTTGTGAGGATATAAATATCCCATCCTGTCCAGTAGGCTCCTGACCCTTGCATCCGTCTAGTAGCCACGATGCACAGGTTTCCAAGGGCCTATTGTCTGGTGGGTGGATTTGGCTTCCCACCCTCTGCTGCTGAGAAGTCTACACTTCTAACAGCTACTGTGTGAAGCCCACACACGTCTCTTTGGGGGACTGGGCGGGGAGAGGAAAAAGGAGCAGAGAACAAAGGAAGGAATGAGACAGAGGGGTTGATCTACTCTGCCAGGCAAAAAAATGTTACTGGTTTCTAGATGTCTCATGTTCACCCATCCTTTTCGTTTGTGGGATTTAAAAATAGGAAGCTGACGCACTCTATATATTTAAAATATAGCTATTTTAGCGTACAATTCAGTGGGAACACCTGGACTGCTATGAATTCACAGAGGGATCCTGGGCAAGTCTCTTCATTCTCTGGACCTCAGTCCTGTCCAAGGGCAGCAGCTGGACAGACCATCTCCAGGTCCCACCCCAGAGCTCCCATAGGGCAGGATTCTACATAGTTTCCTTGACCTTGAACTACAAGAGGGAGGGGAGGGAGGGACACCTGGGCCACCTTCCATTCACAGATACAAAACATCTGGTATGTACAAGGCACAGTGCCAGAGGACATGGCGGGAGAGGGCACAGGGCCAAGGTCTAAAATGATGCCCCAACACAGCGAGCGGCAGACAAACACGCAAAGAGCAGCTGACATGGCTGCAGGAGGCCGGGAGGCCTCTGCAGTGCTGGGCGCTCAGATCCGTGGCGCTGTGTGCGGGGACAGGGAGGCCAGACGAGGACTTTGCAGAAAGGCAGGACTCAGGAGGTGGAGAGCGAGAACGTGCAGGCAGGGGATGAATCTGAATTGAAAGGTGCTTGTCAGGGTCTCTGGCTGACGTGACGGGAGCAGCAGGGGCGCCTAGGGTCACTTTCTGAATGCCCTCCCTGCTGCCGTGCCCTCAGCGTGGAGCTCGCTACCCATATGACCTTCAGGCACTGCGATGCCATCGAGGGGGCCCTCTGTTGGGGCTGAATCATGTGGACCTGGGGAATCCACGCCTGGCTGTCTCCTGGGGCCGCTCTGCAGAAACCCTCCGAGGCCCAGATGCAAAGCCCCGGGCGTCACTGCTGCCTGAGGGCAGGTGAGGCTGAAGCCCCTGGGCCCTGCAGGCCTCGCACCCTCGTCCCGGCCTGCGCTGACCTCCATGATGTCTTTGATGATCGGGGTCCATCGCGAGAGCTGGTATGTCTGCTCGCTGATACGCTCCTTCCGCTCCGGCTTGCTCCTGCGACGCAGGGTGGACTGAAGGCAAACATATGAGAGGTGACTCTGAGTCAGCACCTGGGCCCACATGGCCCTGCTTGTCCCAGGGCTCCCTGTGGGGAATCAGCCTTGGAAAAAGAGTAACATGTGAAGAGGTTTTCCTAGAAAAGCCCAGACTATGCCTGTGGGCTCCAGCCCAAGAATCTGGAGCAAACTTGGTTTTTTAAAGCCTTAAAAAATGGCCAATGTGGGTCAAACATATAAGTGCCATTTTTGACAACGGCAAGAAGTTAAAAAGTTTGTTGTCAATTACTGGAGAAGACTCTTGAGAGTCCCTTGGACAGCAAGGAGATCAAACCAATCAATCTTAAAGAAAATCAACCCTGAATACTCATTGGAAAGACTGATGCTGAAGCTGATGCTCTAATACTTCAGCCATCTGATGCCAAGAGCCGACTCACTGAAAAAGACCCTGATGCTGGGACAGACTGAAGGCAGGAGGAAAAGGGGGTGACAGAGGATGAGATGGTTGGATGGCATCACTGACTCAATGGACATGAGTTTGGGCAAACTCAGGGAGATGGTGAAGGATAGAGAGACCTGGTGTGCTGCAGTCCGTGGGGTCAAAAAGAGTCAGACACGACTTGGCCACTGAACAACAACAGAAGAAAATCCTGCTCTGGTGAGACCTGTCCTTTGGCTTTGCTTCAGCAGCACAGGGTGCACTGAGAGGATCATCTCCATTTTCGTTTGGTCCCTTTCTGAACAAGGGTCTGGAAACACCAAATGACCCGCAGTCACAGGTCTCTGGTCTGCTGGCTCCGGAACAAAGCTGTTGACTCTAATAATAAGATTCCAGAAGGAGCCAACCTACAGCTCGGTTTTATCAGCACTGACTCCCTGCAGGAAACAGGGTTCCTACAAGCGAGGTTCCTGGTGAGGGAGCCCCTCCCTCCTCAGCCTCTTCTAGAGCTCACTGCCAGTTGGGCCCCCACACCTGCCCCGACTGGGTCCCGAGTCATTGCCAGAGCAGCGGACTCAAAGGTCTCAAGACGGCCTGACAGCAACCTCACCGAAGATGCTGAGTCTGAGTGTCCCCATGGCTGAGCCAGGCTGACTCAAGACACGCAGGACGGAGCTGGTGTGTCTTGGGCTGGTTCATGGGCACAGCTCAGCTTCGAGACCATGTGGTGCCTCTCTGATGTGCCCGCCTGGGCTCCTGGCACTACATCTTGATTCTGTGTATACCTCTACACCTGCCTTCCTCTGATTTTATGTTTTCTCTTTCTCGATGCTGAGTGTGTGTATCATAAGCTGTGTTAAGGAAGTCAGGGGAGAAGAGATGAGAGCCACTGCCTCCCCTGGGCCTCCCTTCCAACACGAGGCTGGCGCTCACGTCCGTGACGATGGGCACCCCGAGGTGTGCCATGTTCGTGATGATCTCGCTGTCCTCCGGCGGGATCTGGGCATGCTGAATCAGCTTGTTCAGGTTTTCCTCGGTGATGCCTGTGAGAACAAAACCCCAATCACCACACCAGCCAATGTGCATCGCACACTCAGAAGCAGAGCCAAGTGCCTGGGGTCGGGCATGGTGCCCCCTCTCCTCCTCAGCATCAGTGGGAACTAATCCACTCATTGTATCGACTTTACTGTAAGACAAGGCAGGGCCAGGACTCTAGTTCCACTCTAGCCACTCTGTCCTGGGCTATGACCATCAGCAACTGCCCCTCCTGATCTGTCTTTCCGTCCATCTCCTGCTTCTCAGCCGCCCCCACCATTTCTGGCCTGCATCACAGTCAGCTTGGACAAGAGAGTCTCTGTGTCCATCTTTTTGCATAGTGAACACTTATGGGCAACTATATGTGGGTAAAGATCAGTTATTTACAGGAACAGATTGGGGCCTTCCCTGGTGGTCCAGTGGCTAAGACTCCAGGCTCCCAATGCAGGGGGCCTGGGTTTGATCCCTGGTTGGTAAACTAAAGATCCTGGATCCCACAGCAAGACCCAATGCAGCCAAATAAAAAAAATAAATAAATAAAGGCACAGATTACAAATGTGGGGTAAGTTAAAAGTCTCTGGCAGAAATGCTCTAATAAAGTGGCTGTAAAGCCGATAGACTCTCCCTGCTGTCCTCACCCAGTCCTCTTCTCATTATCCCGTCCCTCTGACTAACTCTAGAATCACTAGGGGATACACAGCCTCTAGCTGCAGCTGATCTGCCTACCTTTCTCCAGCTGTAAAGACTCCCTCGGACCTTCCTATTAGACACCTCTTTCTTTCCCGTTTCCTTGTATTTTCAACTGTTTTTCACTTTGTTCTCTCTCTCCCAGCTGCCTCGTTTTCCCCAAGAAAGGGCCTGTCTCCTCTGTCATATCCCACTGTTCCTACCATTCTTCAAAAAGATGTAGAGAAGGATGATGCGGATTTTGTCGTAAGTGCTGACATTCGCATCCAGCAGAATGGGGACGATGGCTCTCATGGGGTCCTTGATCTTCTCCCCTTCAGCATCTGTGCCCATGGCCAGGTCCTGCAGAAAACACACTGTATTGGCCCCAGTCTGTTCTGGCAATAGTTTGGATAGACGGTAGCTATTAGAAAACGGGCTGTCTGTGAATGTCTGGGATGTGTGGCTTGGTTGGGGAAGGTCAGCGACAGGTGCGTGAGCGCCCCCACATGCTGCAGTTAATCAGCACAGGTCTCCATGGCATCAGTAAGAGCCGAGGAAAGCCCCAGGTTTCACTTTCCAAAACCAGAGGCCACACAGATTTGCGACGTTGTTGAAAGGCAGGCTGTTCCCTCCATGTGAGTGCCAGTGAGCCTGAGCCGACTCCTCAGGGAAAGCCTCAATCTTGGTAGGTTCTCAGGAGGGACACAGGCCTGCCGAGGGCTTGGGGCTTCAGGGGATGAAAAGCGTCAGTATTGTAAGGTGCCTCTGCCTGGCTAGACTCCTCCTGCTCTGCTCCCCCTGGCACAGACGGGGGAGTGTTTAATTGTTCTGCGTTTTTGAAAACCTCTGTTTTTAATCTTCCAACACTTTTAGGGGGAGGAGAAAAAACATGGGCTCTCAAACCTGTACATCTCACTGAGGGAGATGAAGGAAGGGGGAGCTGACAACAGAACTGAAGATAAAGAGTGAAGTAAGCATAGTCTCTGCCACGCCCCCCCACCCCCACCCCCACCCCCCCCATCGCCCATGACTCAGATCCGCTCTCAACAGGCCCGAGAAAGCAGCACATAGGTCTCGGCACATCAAGAACCATCTGGTCTTGTTCTACAACTTTCTCTGTAGCTCTTACAGGAGCTGCCTGAAGGTTGCCTTTTTTCTCTCAAAAGCCCAGGAGTCCACAACAAGTATGATCTCTAGTTGGGGGATCTCTGCTCAGCCTGGATCAGAGGAAGGCGGACACCCCCCCACCCCACAACCTTCTCTGAGGCTCCTTCAGCCCTCAGTGAAGCCTCAATAGACATCTGCTTAGCAGGACTGACCCTAATACTCCCTCAAAGTCAAATTGAATGTGATTAGTTCAACAAATACCCCTGGGCACTTCTGAAAAAATGTAGACTTCCCAGGGTGAATCTCAACTGCATTTGTTCCGGTCTAGGGATAAGCTGTCTTCTGTAGAGTCATGTTCTGATGGTGAGGACGCCTTGTGTTTGCAGAGATCCCTGTGAAACTGATGGATTTCATCATCATGCCTCGTCTTAGAAACCTAAGCCCAGCCTGTCACATCGAACCAGGGGATTTAGATCTTAGCCTCACACTGAGAATGTGAGTTGTTTTTTCTGTGAAAAGAGAACTTTGGCTGAGGTTTTGCCTCATGGGATCCCCCCTTCCCTTAGACGCAGACCCTAGATGAGAATTATCATCACACACGAGGAATGCAATGCCAGGATTAGTGATTCCACACGACACTCCTGGAAAATGTGGCAGCTTTGTTATATCCCCTTGCAGACGAAAAGAAAAACAAGCACATCAAATGAATCAGTGACAGGGACAGAACTCTGATCGCAACTGTGATCAGGGAGGCCGTGGGCGTATTTCTGTTCTTTGGCTGCACTGCCCACTCTCAGCCTCTAGGTCTCCGAGCTGGTGGGGCCACAGCAGGAGGAAAGGACACTCCAGAGTCAACATCCAGCCAGCTCTGTCAGTGCAGGGTTCAGTGCATCACACAAGTCTCTTCTGCTATTCCAGGGAGCATCTGGAAAGTCAGACATGCAAACCCCAAACGGCACAGCATTCCGGGCCACTCTAGTCCCTACCATTGAGAGAGGAACTGCATTGGCTCCAAAGAGTTGAGACAACATGATCTATCAGGCTTCCCCATTTCTATTTCCTATGATTCTGCAAGATGTTCAAGGTAAGATGTTAACATTCATCTGGACAAGTAAACAGGCCTGGCAGAAAGAGAAGGAAAGGGCCCTACCTGTTCCACCCGGCAGAGTTTATCCACAGTGCCTTGGTAATGCTTCATGCAGTCCTCGGCGAGGTGCAGGTGGGTCGAATACTAGGACAAAATAGAAAGTGTGTGGTCAGGGAATCTCTCGCTGACTCACGCAGCATTTGCTGAGTAACTGCCAAGTATGAACACGGTGCTAGGTGCCTAGGAGTCCCCAGCCTCATAAAGGAGATGAAATACATGTTCAAGTAGAGAACTGTGTGTCGGGCAGAGGGACAGAAACACCTTCTACAAGAGTTAAGAGGAAGGAGAAATCCTTTAAGGGGGCAGGGTGGTGTGACAGTTTCACATGTCCACAAATCCTTTGACACTCTTCCCTCCGGCAGGTGGCGCTCAATACCCCTCTCCTTGGGGCTGGGTTTAGTTGAGCTTCCCTGGTGGTTCAGAGGTTAAAGTGTCTGCCTAGAATGTGGGAGACTCCGGTTCGATCCCTGAGTTGGGAAGATCCCCTGGAGAAGGAAATGGCAACCCACTTCAGTACTCTTGCCTAGAGAATCCCATGAAGGGAGGAGCCTAGTAGACTACAGTCAGAATCCCATGAAGGGAGGAGCCTGGTAGGCCACAGTCCATGGGGTTGCAAAGAGTCAGACACGACCGAGCGACTTCACTTTCTTTTCACTTTCAGGCAGTGAGTGCCTAACAAGAGCATTGTGTGACTCCCCAGATCACCGTGACCTCCTCTGAGCTCAATCTTGCAGGCCCATGGGGTAACGAATTGGAAGGATACAGAGAGAAAAAGATGAAGAGAAAGTCTTAGGAAATAAACTATCTATCCCCAGCTTTCATTTTTTTTTCCTAATAAAAATTGAAGATGGGGGCTTCCCTGGTGGCTCAGTGGTCAAGAATCCACCTGCCAATGTAGAAGACTCAGGTTCACTCCATGGTCCAGGAAGATTCCACATGCCGTGGAGCAACTAAGCCTGTGAGTCACAACTACCGAGCCTGCATGATGCAACTACTGAAGCCCACACACCCTACAGCCCATCCTCTGCAACAAGAGAAGTCACCACAATAAGTCCACACATTGCAACTAGAGAGGAGCCAGTGCTCGCTGCAACTAGAGAAAAGCAGCACAGCAACAAAGACCCAGCACAGCCAAAAATAAATTAATTAAATTTTTAAAAATTGCAGGTGACTAAAAACCTGTGGATTTCCATCAATCCGTGAGTGTCTTGGGGCTTTGAGGCGTCTTTGCAGCTGTTTACATTCACGATCGAATGGATCGTTTTGGATCATCATACCTTGCTCTCGGGCCGCAAAGAGTCCGGTGCGATTGAGCGACTGAACAGCAACAACAACATACCTTGCTGAGCTCTTTCTGGTATTGAGGCATTTTCTTCAGCATCTGGGACAGGTCCCGCATGGTGGTCTGTGGGGAGAGGGAAGCACATGGTCTCACTCCAATGGCCCTGAGCTAAGAGGGTGGGCTGAGGGTGGGCCCAGGACAGGACAGCAGCTAGCACCAGACTCCTGAGCACATGTTCTGTAACCCCCAGCCAACGTATCTGTTAAACACAAGATCATGTGTGTTTAGATTTCCATGTCTGTGGCTCAAAAAATTACTGATCCAAATACTGTGACTGTCTTATAGGTGGGGAACTGACCTCAAAGTCTAGCAATTATGTTTTATTTATTGGACCATAAAGTAACTGAGGACACAGTTCTTGCCAGGAAAGATCAATTTTTCATCTATACACTGCTTTTCTGCATACTTGGCTCAAGCAGTCGTGGCATCAATTCACATTTCATCTCGGCAGAAAGGCCAGAGTTGCCCAGACAGGTAGGAAGCAGTGAGGTGAGAGAAGGCTGGAATCTCACCCTGGCAGGTAGAAGGGGTCTGCTGACTTTCTAACTGGGTGACTGACCTAATCCCATTCATGTACTCAGTGAAAAACTATTGAATGACTACTACATACCAGGCCCTTTTAGGTCCTAGAGATACAAGGACAAAAACGAACAGAAAAGCATTTTTGCCTTCAAGGAGCTAACACATAGCAGAGGAGCCACTCTGACTGAGTGGATCAGCGCCTCTGGAGGGACGCACAGCGTGGGGGCACAGCAGGGCGCCCCCCGCTGTCGAGAAGGCGACGCCGGAGCCAAGGACAGGGGCTGCATAGGCAAGACTGGGGAAGGGGCTCGGGCGTGGCCTCAGCCGTGGTGAGTGGCAAGGAGGAGGGGGGCAGAGGTGAGAGTCTGTGGGGCCCCATGACCGGGGCGCTGTTAAGGCATGTCCACAGTGGGACTTGATTCTACTGGGACCAGGAAATCACTCAATGATCCTAGGCCAGGGGCAACACAATTAGAGTGGCGTTTCTAAGAGGAATAAACACCTCTGATAATCAGCTGGGAGAAGGAGAGGCCCAGGTGAATTGGGATATGAATTTTATTGCTACCGTGAGCTAGAAAAGGTTTTATCAAGTTCTTCTGGCTTAACGTGTATTGTGATCCAAAGTAGTAAATGTGAATACTCAGAGTAACAAAAAGAAGCTCTTTATAAATATTAAAAGATGGGGGTTCCGGGTCCCAATCTTGAATACAAAAATAAGACAAAATGTTAAGAGATGAACAGAGGACCAGGAATCCCTCTGAGCTCCCAACTCACCAGCCCAATACTGAGGTGTCCTCCTCACCCCTAGAGGAAGCAGGGATGAACCCAAAGGGCACTGGAGAATGGACATGGGTTTACCTTCTCACCAGTATTCATTCTCTTGCTGGAAGAAAAATCCTTCAGAGAACGGGTGACTTCCCTGGAAGAGAGGAGGAGGCAGCTAAGCTTCAACACGGCACCAAGAGCCTCTCTATCAGGGGTCCCCAACCTCCGGGATCAAATGCCTGATGATCTGAGCTGGAGCTGATGTAGTAATGATAGAAATAAAGTGCACGGTAAATGTCATGCACTTGAATCATCCCGAAACCACCTCCTGACCCTTTCGTCCGTGGAAAAATTGTCTTCCACAAAACTGGTCTCTGATGCCAAAACGGCTGGGGACCACTGCCTATAGTCATGCAACATCCTTCCTTTAGGAGTATGCAGTGACTTTTCCTGCCCTAAGGTATAGGTTTAAAGTGATTTTCTAAGAGGAGAGAGAGAGATATGCCATTTTCCTAATATTCTAAACCAGGGGTCTCCAGAGTTGGGTGTACAAGACAATTTGTGAACAGAAAAGAAAATGTTAGGACATCTATCTATATAATTTCACTTCATCCTTCTCAAATTTATGTTTTTGTATATGCTATCAAATATACACGAGTACAATAAAGCATATATTGAATGCATAAATAAATTAAGATAACTGGAAATGTGAAGTAACATTTTTCTAAAGTTGAATGATCCCCCAAGGTTTGGAGAATACTTTTCTAAACAACTATCCTAGGCTATAGTATTTTCTCACTGTTCCATGTGAATTTCCTGTGGATATTATCAACTCAATGTAGCAGAATGTGTCCTTCTGCAAAAGCAAACTTGTTATCTACAGTTTAACAGCCTATTAAAAACTTTCCAGAGTTAGAAACATTTTGAAACATTTTCAGAGCAAGGTACTCCCTTTGGTATAGAGATTAGTATATGCTTTGACTCTTGCTGAGAAAAGTTTAGGTATGACAACAGGGGGGAAGGGGACATACCAGCTATATATTTAAAAACTAAAACCCTGAACTGTATGCAGTAGATCTTTCAATGGAACAAACTGGCTTCAAGTGTTTAGTGTTTATAAAGCATCTTGAAATGAGAAAAGCTACAAACACTTTCTAAAAGCCCTAAAAGTAACCCTAACACGGAAAGGGTATTCTAACTTCATGAGACTGGTAGAGCCTGAGCTCAGATATCAGAAGGGATTCACCATCACTGGTTAGAAGGTGGGTGACTTAACAGAAGCAAGGGGCTCCTGCCTGCACTGGTGAGCTCTGCCCAAGGTGCCCGGAGAAGGCGCACTGGCCCCCAGCACCCGTGATCCCCCGCGTCGGTGGGGCGGGCCCTGGGGCCCGGGGCAGGCGCAGGGCGGGCTCTTACTGGGACACCTCCGCGATGTGCTTGTGGCGCAGCGCTATCCAGAGGTCGTCGTCCTCGTCCAGGAGCACCTCCTTCACTCGCGCCTCCCCGATGCCGCTCGTCTCGTACCTGGACAGGAGACGGGGGACGTCCCATGCGATTCACCCAGTCCCCTGGTTTATAGCAGGCTGACCTTCACATGAATGACTGCACAGCAAGCGCTCTGACCATCGGAGGTGTCACTGTCTGTGTCAGGCCTGCCGCATCGAATGAGGCTGATGGTTTCTTGTCTTTTTTTTTTTTTTTGCCACGCCACACATCTTGTGGGATCTTAGTTCCTCGACCAGGGTTGAACCCAGGCCCTCATCAGTGAGAGGTATGGAGTCCTAACCACTGGACCACCAGGGAATTCCCAAGGCTAACAATTTCTAGGGCAGGAAGAGACCTAAAGGTCTGATCCAAGTCAACTGACTTGAAGTCCTGTTTTAAAACCCTCGGGGTCAGTTGATGTGCTCCACTGGAGCCACCTGGCTCAGCTGTGAAGTCAGGTCATACATGGTTTTGGAGGTACTCGTAAAGCAAAGGCGAGGATCACACTTGCTCCTCCCTGGGAAAGGCCTGGGACACCATCCTTAATGTGTGGGACTGAAATAGCTTTTGGCAGCTGCCTGCAGCAGGCCCTCAGCAAACTTTCACAAGTGCAACCATGAACATCTAAGGGAAATAAAGAATTACAGGTACCAAAGGGGGAAAACTGAGATTCAGTCATATTTTTAGAATCTTCATTTTGAAACCACTATCTTTATGGTTAAGGTTATAAAATCATTGCCACGAGAACAATACAGTCTGTTCCCATAAAAAGAAAAATATGTTTTTAGAGACTGAGTTTCTGATGATTGCTATAAAACTCAGTAATACAGGACTTCCCTAGCAGTCCAATGGCTAAGACGCCGTGCTTCCAATGCCAGGGATGTAGGTTCAACTCCTGGTTGGGGGAACTAAGATCCCACATGCCGCATGGTGTGGCCAAAAATAAACAAATTAATAAATTAATTTTTAAAAACTTGGTAAGACACTCCTACTGGTATATTTTATCATCATATTTCATGATGTGTAGTTAAGAAGTTTTAACTCTGAGTAAGATACGCTCTTACACAAGTCAACATGTTAACACATCCAAACCGGCTATGAACTAAAGTGACATGAGCTGAACTAAACATCTCAAGTTCTTGTTCCCCCAAAACAGGCAGAAGTTTCTAGCTGATGGTGCAGTTGCACTTTGGGAACTCACAGAAAAGCATGCAGGCTTATTAGTGAGACTGTATGGGGACTTCCCTGGTGGTCTAGTGGTTAAGGGTCTGCCTTCCAGTGCAGGAGATGTGGGTTAGATCTCCGGTCAGGGTACTAACATTTCACATGCCCCAGGGCAACTAGGCCTGAAAGCCCACTCGCCACAACTAGTGAAAGCCTGCCAGCCACAACTAAAACCCAATGCAGCCAAAACCAAAATTAAAAAAAAAAAAAAAGACTATGAATGTACCTGCTTTTGCTAGGATTAACGACATCTGTTTCCTTAAATTAGAGGTGTGTCTGGTTCATTTGCAAAGCTGCAGTCACATGTACTTACTTGTATACGTCATTTTCAATAGGCAGCAGGTCGTAACTCATAGCCTGAAAAGTCAGCTCATGGAGGACAGGGGAGCTGGGGTCGAAACCACGGTCCAGGATCAGGAGCTGGGAGCGTGCCTTGTCCGGGCCCTGGAAGGAAGGACACGAGGGAGGATTTCGTGAGATGCCCGAAACCCTCCCTGTTTCAACTCCTGCTTCCCTGACTAGCACAGCTAGCCCTCCCGTGAAACGTGGCAGCAGGATGTGAACTCTGACTCAGAGAGCACTCAGTCCATCTACTGCTGGACCAGGATGCCAGCACACGCCATGTGAGAATCTAGTGTGTCTGTTTCACAGGAATAGGGTCCTTTGACGCAGATCCCGAATGCAGGGTACAAAGTGAGTTTACAAACGAGAGCACCACCTGGGTTCGGCTATTAAAAGGGGCACCCATCACCCAACCCAGCCAGCCTGGGATGGAGCGGGTTCCCAGAACCTGGGGCTATCAGTGTGTAAATCATGATAGTGATGGGCCAGTTCTGTGATGCGTGTGATAAAATTGCACAGAACCGCACATACATAAGCACGTGTAGGAACTAGTGAAATCTGAGTAAGGTCTGGAGACATAGCAATGTCATTTTTCTGGTTTCAACTCTGTTCCACTGAGGGGATTCCCATGACACAGGACTTTCAGTGCTAACACCAGAAAAGTTCTAGTGAACAGAAACAAGCCGGTCGCTCGGCTCCACTGAACAGAACCTGTACCACCTGCCCGAGGGCTTGGGCGCTTGCTTCACTGGACCTCAGTATGCATAAACAGGGGCGCTCATGCACACTCTGTGAGCAGAGAAAGCCAGCTGTGCCCAGGCTGGCCCATGGACACTGTGGTCCTTCGGCAAGAGAACCACGTGGGTCAGGTCGGACTTACCTCCCCCATTGTCGGGTCATCGGCTTTGTAGGCGTCGAGCTTGTCCTGGATTAGCTGAGCCAGCAAAGCGTTGTCCTTGTATTCCCTGACAAGGGAGGAGGGACAGAGGGTGAACCACCTGTCCCAATCGATGGCACTTCCTCAGGGAGGAAGGCAGGACAGTGCGGGAGGGTCAAGGGAGAGATGAGCTTCATCTGTATTGTTCTTTTACAAGAGACTATAACTCAGATTACATGTACGGTTAAAAAGGAAAAACAAAATACTTAGCTCAGTGCCTGGAATGTAAATGATTTTCTAGTTCCTTTAAAAAAAAAATCATCTAAGTGGAAACTGAGGGGGTCTTTCCAAGCAGCTTCAGATAAAACAGCCACACTTCAGCAGAGGGTCCTAAACACGTGTCCTTTTCCCACCATCAGGCTATCTTAGCCTGACCCACTTGATCTTCACTTCCCTCAGTTCAAATTCCCTTGGACTCTGTTTTGTTTTGTTGGAAGTGACATTTCTGCCGGCAGAGCTAGAAAGATGCAAGTTGAGAACCTCTGGACCTTCCCTCTTGCTCAGCCTCCAGCACCTCCTAAGTTCCTCTGGGTGATGCTTATCACGTGGCTGCTGCCCACCACCTGGCCACTCTTAGCACAGAAGCAGCTCCACCCCCAGTCCCATCCTCTCAACGAGTGAGCTCCCAGCCCTCGTTTCTTAATTTCTGCTGGGCATCTGTTGGTGAGGACCCTGGTGGGTGGAGGGTTGTCCTACGGGTGCCCATCCCCAGGGACAAAGAGGTGATGAGGCGCCTTGGCACTTCCCGCTCAGTCCTCCACTCCTCTGGCAGTGTCCCCCCTTCTGGTTGCTTCTCTTTGCATGACTGTGACCCCTGCACTCCCACACCACTGTGTTCACTCCCTCATAGGCTGTCCTGTGATAACCACCGAAGGGCATGACCCCAAACCTGGCAACCAAGGCCTCCAGAAATGGTTTCACCTTGCCCCACTGCTTGCACGTATGCAGGGTGAGACTACCAGCCCTTCTTAAACTTGCCCTTTATTTTCCAGGGTCATGCTTTCGCTCATCCCAACAGTCCACACAAAATGCCCCCAGCTCCTCATCAGTCTACTGGAATCCTGACCTGTCCTTTGCTCAGATGCCGCCTCTGCTCTGATGCTGGGCTTGCTCCTCTCAGCTCAGGGGCCTCTGCCTGCTCTGGATGCCCAGGCCCGAGGCCTGCACTGCCCCAGGCACTGGTCCTGCAGGGCTATGTTGCAGGTGTGCACAGCTCGGGTGTACACTATGCCAGAACACATCTTACCTGCCTGCCTGGATCAGGGGCTTCTAAGGGCAGAGGCTGTGTCTTCAGGTTAAGCCCCCCAACCTAGCACTTAGCACATAGCAGGTAAATGATGAGTGAATGACTCGATCAAATCTGAGGACTGTGTCCTTTGGAGAATTAGTCTCCTTTTATACCCTGAAACACCTTTTTCAAGGTGAAACACCTGTTTCAAGGCAGATTCTTTACCGTCTGAGCCACCAGGAAAGCCGCTTTTTAAGGTTAGAAAGGGATAAAAAATTGAAGGAAATCTGGGTTACAGTTATGTGGAGGTTTGCCCTTGGTTCCTCACTAACTGAATATATGTATTCCATGCTCTTTTCTGCATGTATTAGTATAGTTCACATTAAAAATTTAGAAAATAACAAAAACATTGGAAAATAAGCATCAACGTGAGATGCTCGGATCTTGATCCTCTGGAGACAACTGCCAGAAAATGGGAAGGCCAGAGGAAGTTCCTCACTTGGGGACAAGCTCCTCGCTTGGGGGGTCGCTGAAGGCAGCCTGGGGTGCAGCCTTACCCCCGGTACCGCACGGCCGGGTACTCCTTCAGGGTGGCACACAGAGTTGCAATCTGCTCCGCCAGGCGCTCCAGGATCGGATTCTTCATCTGAGCCTTGTGGGGACTGTAGAAGCTTTGGAAAGAGTCAGCAGAGTCCAAGGAATACACCTGAGAAAGGGGAAATATATACGTATATACACAAGGACAGAGGAGCCTGGTGTGCTGCAGTCCATGGGGTCGCAAAGAGTTGGATACAACTCAGCGACTGAACAACAACAACAACATATATATATATATATTTCCAGAATGGTGTTCCCTCCAAGCCTCGTAGTGAGGCTCCAGAACAAGTTTTCATTTGTTTCTACAAATACGGCGGGGCACCTGCTGGGTGCCAGGCCCTGCGCTACATACTTGGGAACTGTTAGTGACCAAACCACTACTGTCCTCCGGGAGCGTGCAATCTTGCAGGAGAAGGCAGATGAATAAACAAGGAACACAACGAAAAGTAAATTTTATGGTATGTGGGAAATGGGTAAGTGTATCAGAACAGAAGGAGAGAAAGAATGCCCGAGGGCTGGACAGGGAGGACTGGAGGCCTCCTTGAGGAGGGGACATTTGAGTGAGGGCTTGAAGGAGGTGGAGTTTCTTCCCAGGGGGCTCCCAAAGGAGGGGCTGGTCAAGCCAAGGCCCTGAGGCAGGCATGCCTGTGTCTGATGACTGATGCGGAGCCCAGAAGGAGAGCAGCGGAGGGGCCTTGGCAGACCACACCGGCTATACACTGTAAGTTTAAATAAATGGGGAACAAGCTAGAAATTGTGCTGTGACTGTGGCAAACAAAGGAGCTTTCTATGGATTTAATAATTTCCTATTCTCAAAGTATGTTCTTAGTATTTTTCTCTTTTATCCTTTTTGGAAGGTTTTGGAGGTTTAAAATTTTCTCTTAAACCAGCAGGTTACCAGGCATCAGTATTCTCTCAGAAGAATCTCTTGATGTGAACTACCCCCATCTTGAAAACTTGAGGTTTAAAAAATTTTTTTAAGTTTATTACTTTTCAAAAATATATGGTGGAGAAGGGAATGGCTACCCACTCCAGTATTCTTGCCTGGGAAATCCCATGGACAAAGGAGCCTGGTGGGCTACAGTCCACAGGGTCGTTAAGAGTCAGGCACAACTTAGCAACTGAACAAAAAAAAAAATGTGCACATGTGACATACAGTAAACCAAACATAAAAAAGCAAAAACAGATGAAATACAATATGGTTGAATATGCTCAAGTTGGATTTTGTTCAATCCAGGTGGTGAGAGGGCTCACAGAGAGGAAAAAAAAATCCCAGCCCTTGGCTGAGAATAGGCTTTAGGCCAAGTCAGAAGGGAAAGAGACTCTTTTGAAAATATTCACACTCTATTTTTTCCATGTCTTCTTACCTAAGAATTCATCACTCTCTGGCATCTATTATTAGAGGCTGATCCATAAAGACCTGATATGCCACAACCATCTCTTACTTCTACAAAATGCACAGAAGTTGTGCTATTTTTTGCTTCTTGACGAGGAGGAGGCATTTTAACAAATCTTGAAATACTATGGTATAAATTTTGTACATTTTCTCACAATCAGCTTCACTTTTACTGGTTTAGTGACTTTGTTTTTTTCCAAGGGGAGCAGTTTCGGCATGTGAAGTGTTAACGGCTTGTGACGAAGGATACCATCTGTTCCTTGACACGTGACAAGCTGAGGTTATCTCTACATAAAAACAGCCTCCTTAGCAGCAGATGGGTGTAGTCTGATCCCTTCCCCTTCTCTCCTCCCAGCTCTTTCTGGATTGGCTACTTTTTACTTATTCAAGGAGTCAGCCAATAGGTGTGAACACTGAGCAAGGATGAAATGAACACCAAGAAGGACATGATGGCTGAGAAAAGTCAGAAATAACTGGAGAGTAAGAGTGAGGCATCTCGGGCAGACCCTCTAAGAACGACCGTTTCCATTACATAAACATCCACTCACAGGACATCATTGAGTAGCTCCTTCCCCCACTCTCTTTACTGCCCTGCCCCACCCTCTTGACTTGGCTGGAGTTCCTGAGAGAATAACCAGGATGCAGGCTTTCTCTGCCCATCCCCTCGCAGGCTCACCTGGGATTCATATGGGAGAAACGCAATGTTGATTTCCGTCAGAGTCTTGATGACTTTGGCTGCTCGAGATTTTACCAGCTCGTTAAATAGGGCATCTGGACAAGCTGCCGGGATGACAAAGACGGTAGGGTTTCCTGTCCACTTGCTTGCTGGTTTCAACATTTGCACACATCTGGTGAATTCTTTATTATTAGGATTTTTAAAAGGCAAATAGGAAGTTCATCCCATCCTACAACCTACTGCCTCTAGGGTATAAAAGGAATACAAAACCACCTAGGAGGCCCTCCGCATAGAACAAAGAAACAATTGGCAATAAAGGCTGAGATATTGAGAGCTGATTTTAAAAAACCACTTTCTGACATTAAGGAGAAGAAGAAAAAGAACCAGAAGAGATCAAGAAGGCATCAGGAAAATGTCTGAACACCCCACACCTGACATACTTAGGAAAAATAAAATCATTGGGCATTGTGATGCAGACACTTCCACAGGCCTTCTAAGGAACTTAACTGCACAGAAGACCCACTTGGTCGGGGAACCACAATTTCTCATGACTCTCCTGGGCCAAACAAACAGCTTCAGGTCCCTGGAAATGTGTTACTGGTTTATTATTATTAATGCCATTTACCTGCTTCCTTTGCCGCCCATCTTCAAAGCATATAAAATTGTTCTTTGCAAGACCCTTTTCTCATTTTCTCAATGGTGAGTTTTGTGGGGTTTTCACCAGAGAGAACATGGGGTGAACTGTCATTTTTGTGCACTCTTAAGCTATCTAGTCCGATTCATCTCTCTTTGCCATTAACAAAGACTGACCAAGATGCTTCTAGTACTAGGTTCCATGCACAAAACCTCCACAAAGCAAGAAAACAGATCCTAGGACAGTGATAAATTCTATCTAATACAAACACCACTAGGTCAGACTGCCTTTGTAGCAACAGTTGAAAAGTAGGTGGAAATGCACTGCAGTTTATAGTGATGTCTGGAAGGCTATCCTGCAAGCACCAAGGCTGGTATTGGGAAATTCTTCTTGGCATTAAACACGCTAGCCCTTAGAAGAGGAGCTTTTTTTTTTTAAATTAGGAAGGACTGCAAGACCTAGTAGGTTTTGTGTTTGTAGGCATTTGTTTTTCTCTCTTATGCAATTTGTCTTTTGAAGAGAAAATGAAAGATGGGGACACACGTGGGAACAGTTCACCTCTTCGCCACCGGCCTGGCCGGCCGTGGGGCTGGTCTGGCTGTGCGGGGGCACTAGTCTAAAGGCCGGGGTGCTAGTCTAAAGGCCGGAGTGGCACGGCCTTCCCTACTCACAGTCGGTAAAGAAGACGTGTGCGGCCCGGTACTTGGCGGTCGGCGGGTCCTTAAAGTCGCTGATGAGAGAGTGGACAGACTGTGGAGAGGGAAAAAAGGGAACTGAATCCGATTCTAGAAGCAAATGGGACCTACATCTGAACAGAGTCGAATCCACACTGGTTTCAAGCTACATGCACAAGATAGAAAGGGACTTCTGATTATAATGCTAACTCACGTTCAGTCATAACTGAGTTCTGAGGACTTGAGGATTATTTCAGAGTTTAGACTAACAAAGGCCTCTCTAGCTCATTCCAGAATGACAGCAGCTGTTCTCTGCACCCACCATTATTTGGGCTCCTAAGAAGAGACCCACAAAAGAGCAAACTGCTCAGAAACCTGCTAGAAGACTCATTGCCATGGAGTTCTGGCGATTTAGTTGCATCTGCAGAAACTCACACATAAGTCAGTTTTGCTTTTTGTTTTTAATGAAATGAAAACTGGGGGGAATTTACATAGATCAAGACACCTAAGACAGCTAGCAACCAAGAGCAAGGAGGTGGGCATTGCTTAGATGCTGATTTGAACCAATCACCCAAAATGGTAAGACAAGTAAATCTAAACTCTAATGGATATTGCTAAAATAAATCTGGGAATTCCCTGGCAGTCCAGTGGTTAGGACTCAGTGCTTCAACCACAGGGGGCCCAGATTAGGGAACTAAAATCCTGCAAGCCATGAGGGTGCAGCCCCCTCCCACCAAAAAAAAGAAAGAAAGAAATCTGACAGTGTAAAATACACAAGTTCTGCAGGTGGATCACTAGATAACGTGATCTCCTACCTAGAAAGGAATAAATGAGATTGGCCCGACCTGGCTTTCTGCAGCAAGCTTAATGCACTCTTCATTATTCACCAGCCCCCTCCTTCCCTGCTTGTGGATTGCACGCTTAAACAGAACAGTGTGTTAAATGCCTGCTTAACCCAGAAATGTCAGACACGGTGCCACACAGACACCAAGCCAGAGTGTTTGACCTCAGCTTTTCCGGGATGGTTTACCTTCTCAGAGGGAGTGATGAGATACACAGCCTCCAGGCTGGGGAGCGGCTCTCGGCGCTTGTTGATGTCTTCCACAACTAGACAGCAAAACAGCAGCCCATGATGAATAAGAGAACAGAACTGGTGATCATGAAACTAGAAGCCACAGAGAGAGGCCACCTTCCGGCTGGCACAGCAAAAATCGACAGAGTAGGGAGGAGACTCAACGCCCCTTCCTCAGAGTGATCACATTTCTGTGTCTCACTATGCTCAAGGTGGGAGAAAACCCAAAACCTCATCACATGAAATCCCTCCCACTTCCCATTTCAGTTCAAGGAAATTCCTTGATCTGCTCTGATTGAAAATGGAAACTGCTATCTCATTCTGTCAAGAACAGACTTTTGCCTCTTCCTTCAGGTTTTTTTTTTTTTTCCTCATCTGTCCTAGATAATCCCAGTTCCTTTAGAATTTCCAAGTTAAGTTTGTTTTTCAACAATTGGATCATTTTATCATTTTCCTCTGTCTATCAGATGAAGACATTCCAAACATATTCTCTGGATTAAGACTGTTCCTCTCAATAGCTCAAAAACTAAACAGCAAATTCTGCTTGAAGCAAACCATGGGTGTCTGATTTGCTGGTTTCTTTTACAGAATGTCAGCAAGGGGAAAGACATCCTTCTGGGAAAGGGATCATCTCACTAGTCACCTGATAAAGCTTAGGACATGTCCTCTATGCTACACTGTCCTCTGGTACAGAGCAAGCAGGAAATCTAATGGTACTCTTCTTCCTGTGAAGGTGATGTCAGCAAATAAAAGCATCCCTTTAGAAGTATCCCTGTAACACAAAGACTTTTCACCCTGAATAATATTCAAATTAAATACCAAAATTTCTCAACCATCTGTGTTATCAGGGGTTATAGATTTTTTTTTTTTAATTGGAGGAAAATTACTTTACAATGCATATTGGTCTCTGCTGTACAACAAGGCTCATAGATTTCTGAATTTCATATGCCAGTAATACTTCCCCCCAAATATTTCAGGGGGGTGGTCCACACAGGCTTGCAAAATTTAAAATTCTGCTGAGTAAGGACATTTAAAAAAAAAATAACTTCTGTGATAGGGAAGAGTCTGTGTGTAGGACAGGAGAGGTGAACCCTCATCTACCACAGGATAATGTCTAACATGATGAATCCAGAAATGACCATATAAGCATTTATTTAGAAATATCAAAAAGATAACTGGAAGAAAGAGCAGAAGGGCTGCCTCCGGGGTGATGGACCCTGGGGGATGGGGGAGGAGGAGGGAGGGCAGGGTGGTGCGCTCTTCTTTGTTAGAAGCTCACAAGCTACATTTGGCTTTTTTCCTATATTTGCATTTTTTTGTTTTGATAGAGAAAAAAAAAGTTTTAGAAGTTCAATGAAGAAAATAACTCTGCAAGCTCAAAACAGGGGCAAGCCTGGTCTTGGATCACTGAATGACAAAAAGTCACACCAAAAATTCCATACTCCCATTTATAGGACTATGGCTTTTGGTGACAGATAAACTAGATTTGGAAATGTGTCTTTATTTTCTTGTTTTCTTTTTTTTTAAACTTTTTTTTTTTTGGTGGAAATGTGTTTTTAAAAACAAAGGAGTCACATTCCAGGTGTGGTTGTAGCCCACAAATTGTTATATGTGTGTGTGTGTGTGTGTGTGTGTGTGTGTGTGTGTATAAGCTGCATTGTAAGAGATACATTTCACTCAACATTTTTTAGGAGGAAAACAAAGGTTAACTCCCTTGTTTGAAATAATACCTCAAAATAGATTGCTTTTCCATCAGTGCTGTTTCACAGATGAAAATACATCTCTCCTGAAAGGAGCCCCCAAGTAAGACTTGCTGCTGCTGCTGCAGCTGCTGCTAAGTCGCTTCAGTGTGTCTGACTCTGTGCGACCCCATAGACGGCAGCCCTACTCACAAATGTGAAAAAGAGCTTGGGACAGAAGCCAGGAGGGCTTTGTCCTAGTCTCAGGTGTGGTGCTGCCCAGGGACCTTGAGCAGGTGATTTATCTTATTTCAAAAACCTATTATTGTGAAATTCTAACACACATTTCAAATGGTGAATTAAACATAAATATACACATAACTGCACAAGCACTATCCCATTAGGAAGCAGAACACATCAGCACTGCAGAAGTGCCCCCGCTACCCTTTTCCCCCTCCCTCATCATCCCCACCTCTCCTTTTCCCTTAAAGAGAACCACCACGGCAACATGAATGGTGATCACTTCTCTAATGGTTGTTTAAGATTCACTTATCCCCACATTTCAAAGCAGGATGGCTTAGCTCTGCCTGTTCTAGGATATTATGTAAATTAAAGCACATTGTTAAGGACTCTTTCGTATCTTGTTTCTCTTGCTCAACATTGTTTATCAGATTCATTCACATTTTGGAATGAGAGAGTAGTTAATATTCATTACTTTCCTTTGCTATGTAATATTCTGTTGTGTGACTGTCCCACAATTTATTGTACCATTCTTCTCCTGATGGAACTTTTGGTTGTTCCTACTTTGTGGCTACTATGAGCAATGATCTGTGACCTTCCTGGGCACACATGCCTGAGTTGTCTAGAACACACATCTAACTGCAGACATGCTGGCTTACAGGACCTGCAGGCCTCAACTCTCCTATACACCTCCAAGGTTTTTGAAAGTAGCTATACCAACTCATCATATCAGAGTTCCCTTTCTCCTATATCCTATCACTTGGCATTATCGTAGTGTAAATACTCCAATGTGACAGAGCAGTATCTCACTCTGGTTTTAACGGCATTCCCCTGACCACTAATGAGGGTGGGCAAGTTCTCATGTATTTACTGGCCATTTGGATTTCTTGCTTTGTTAGGTGCCACTCTTTTTTCTATTGGCTGGCCTGCCTTTTTTCTTAACTGAGCCTTCCTTTTGGCATCCTTTCACAGATACTTAGTGGGCATCTAACACTGGACTGGAAACTAGGGATTTGGTGATGAACAAGAAAGCCTGGGGTCTAAAGCCAAGCAAGACAATAATGAACAGGGAGGAGAAAGAACACCCCACCACACTCACTTGTTATCCCCTCGGTCATGATGTCCGTCATCTTACAGCAGGAGGAGAGCATCCTCATGCTCAGCTGGTCCACCACCAGCACCTGGAAGCAAAGGGAACAGTTCACACCTGGAAGCACAGGGAACAGTTCACACCTGGAAGCAAAGGGAACAGTTCACAGCCTGGAAGCAAAGGGAACAGTTCACAGCCTGGGGGGCACCTGCTGTGACGCTTGCCTCCCCTGACTGCATCAGACTTCAGGAAGAGCCCAGAAACACAGAATTCTGAGCAATCGAGGTTTCCTAGGGGCCAGAAGTTTGCCAAGATACACACTAGCTTTTATTTTTCCACCAAACCTAAGCTTCTAGGAGAGTCTGCTCTCACTAACATGACTTTTTAAACTTAAAAAAATTAAAATTTTTCCAATGACAAAGAAAATAATTACTCATAAAAATGCAAAAGAAAAAAAAATTTCATACGCAGCACCCACAATCAGAGGAATCCATATTTTTTCAGTGCATAAGCTTTCTCTTTAAGGGAGAATGAACACTAGTGCCACACTGGCAGGGTGGAAGGCGAGGACTTTGTTGCAGACATCATCAGGATGGACCAGCACATGTGTTGTTCAGGAGTAAACTCTACCTCAGTCTAGACGAGAAGGACAGGAACATGCCATCCTGGTTGAAAGGCATCATACCTGCAGCTCTTCAGCAAACTTTTCCTATCTCCACCTGACCCACAGTGGAGAGAGGAAGCTAAAATAAGGTTATTCCTCTTCTCCTTCCTCAAAGATATAAACCCAGGCAACAGGAGCTAGAAAAATGTGGGCCCCAAAGCATTTTGCTGTAGCACAAGGACCAATCAGGTTTCATTTCATAAGGCAGCTTCTCCAGGGTTTAAAATGCTCATGTCCACAAGTCCATTACTGATGGGAAGGGTGACAGAGAAAGGCAGGCAGAAAGAGTTCCCACCCGCTGGCCTCCCACCCTGGGTATGAATATGGACGCTCTGGCTAAAATGTGATCTCATGTTTATGAGGTTATGTTCATGAGGTTAGGGTGAGACTTTAAAAGCTTCCTGGTGCCAAGCTGTTCCAAGGCCCAATGAACTTGAGGCTCCTGACTGCAGGAAAACTTGGGGGCAAGAATGGTTAGCATAAGCCCTTCGACAACACACGCAGAGTTCGAGTGTGCCCTCTTGGGCACTCTAATGCCTAGTCCCAGATGATCAGAAGGTCCTTCAAACTCTGACTTCCTGGAGGACAGCACGATTCTGACTTGTATCATCCACTCCCAGGACCAAGGTCATAATCAGTTAGATTGACTTAAATATTTGTTTCAGGTACAAAACAGTTTCCACCGTTGCTCTCAATGTTAAATGAACAAACAAGCTGACTTGGTTTGTCTTGTGTAGCTACAGACAGACAGGAATAGGCCAGATAAGGGCTTTTCAGACTGTTGCATGGGCTCCATGAGAGGCTTTAGGGCCACCGGAGGGGTATGAAGGGTCCCCTCTTGTCTCCCATAGCAAGCAGAATAATTCCACCTTCCGCTTTAATCAATGGGTTCCAGGTAAGATCCTGTTTGAATCAGAGGGTTCCACTGCTAGAATGCCCCACCAGGTGATCTTAAAGATAAGCTTCATGACCCAGAGATTTCCTAACCAGGATCATATACAATGAGAGGCACAGCAGATTACCTTTTGCCAGTTCAGAAGCTTTTTGTATTCTTTGGACACAGCAAAGGTCCTCATTCCTCACCTGCATGCCTTTCCCCAGTGCCACCCCATTTGTGTTCTTCCCCATGAATTCACCTTCAAGGTCATTCATTGTGCTCTTCCACTTACCTTCCATTCTCCCTTCTTTTTCACCTTCTTTATCACATCATGCATGATCTCTAAAAAGGAGAGAAAAAGGAAGGAAGGAGGGAGGGAGGGAAGACGGGAGAGAGGGAAGGAAGGAAGGAGGAGAAAAATTTAATGTAATTTCAAGGACTTCCAACCCCTGCCTATGAGACGAGGTCATCTTCCCTCCATAGACCTTATTCTCTTGGGTCATGCAATTCAACCAATCTATCTACTGGGTCATAATCAATCCATCATAAAGACACTTCTCTTCCTGTGCCCTCGATTCACTGGTTCTCAGACCTTCTGATCTCAGGACCCCTTTACATTCTTAAAAATTGACCCCAAAGAGTGTTTGTGTATACACATAAATATCTATTGACATTTGCTATATCAGAAGTTAAACTGAGATATTTTTAAAATATGTATTAATTACAATAACAAACCCATTCTGTGGTAACATAGTTGCATGCCATTAAAATGATATATATATTTTCCATTATAAAATAATTTTACTGAGGATACTGGCATTGTGGCACATTTTTGCAACACTCCTCAATGTCTGTTTTTGTAGAAGACATCTGGGTTCTCCTAGCTGCTTCTGCAATTTATGAATCATATAGCATTTGGAAAAATCCACTGTGTGTTTGCAAGAGAATAAAAGCAAAGAGGCAGATAACATTTTAGCACTATTATGAAGGCAGTTTTGACCTCAAATTTCCAAAGTGCCTAGTGTTTCAGAATCACTGACTTAAGATGAGTGAGTAAAATTCTATGACAATGCCCAGGCCACATAAGCCTACCCTCCCTAAGCTACAAAAACAGATGTGAAGAGCAGTTGTGATAGCCTTCCAGTTCTAAGTATATCTGTGGGATGCTCTCAAACCCCCAAACAATGTTTTTGTAAGCCACAGTTTCTGTAATGCCATACCACACCCAAGTCTACCTGGCCACGGAAGATTCACAGGAAACAGTGCTCTACTACTCTTTTTAAACCCAGATCACTCACAGGCCTAGAAGGAGTCAGAGGCTAAGAACTGTCATTAGCAAGTGTGCTTCAAACATTTAGCTCATTCCCCAAAGCACAATAGTCCCCTAACTCTGCTTCTATCTCTGGTAATCTGATATGTCATAAAAGTATTCTAAAAATTTTAAGAACTTTTTACCTAATTATAAAAACCCACACAATTATTGTAGTAAACTTGGAAAACACAGAAAAGTATAAAGAGGAAAACACCATGTATTCCTTGCACACTATAAAAAAAAAGAAAGATTATTTGTAATCTTGCCAGCCTGAAATGCATAATTGAGTTTCCTACTCTCTTTTCCCATGAACTTTTACACAGCTGATAACATGCTGTATGTATAATTTTTTTCATATTATGCTTTTTTCTCATTACAAAAACTCATTTCTCCATGTTAATAAAAATGCTTCCTAGGATCTTAAATGCCTGCATAGTACTCCTTAATCTAGTCAACAATTTCTCAACAGCCATTCAGATTATTTCCCATGGTTCAGTGTGGTGAAAAACTGGGGACAAATATATCCAATAAGCCAGTGGTTAAGTTAATTAGGTTACATTTGTGCAATGGATACTATGCACCTACTAGAAATAATGATCTGGAAAATACACTCTCCTTTACTCATTTTCACTGTTTACTGGTCACTGGACCCAGCACCAGGGACGAACAGCAGCAGAGACGTCTCCTTCGGAGCTTACATGCTAGTGACAGAGCAGACAAGACAAAAGGGCTTCTCCTCACAAGTGATCTGAGGCAAACAGATAAGGGCAGTGGTAGAAAAGAAAAACCCTAGCGCGGGGAGCTACCTTTAAGAGGGGGTCAGACAAACAGATGGATACCAAGGGGGAAAGCAGGGGAAGCCATGAACTGGGAGGATTGGGATCCACATTTATATACTATTGACACTATGTACAAAACAGATAACCATTGAGAACCTAAAAAAAAAAAGAGAAAGAGATACAGGAGGGATTGGGATTAAAAAAAAAAAAAAAAAAACCCAGGGGAAAAAAAGGCGGCCCAGGGTAGGGGGTGGGGGCAGGTGGTACTTCCCTGGCTATCTAGTGGTTAGGATTCCATGCTCCCACTGCAGGGGGTGCAGGTTTGATCCCTGGTTGGGGAATGAAGATCCTGCATGACAAGGTTAAAAAAAAAGGTGAGGGTGGGATCCGGCACAGCCTCTCTGAGGAAGACCCCAGTCCCTCAAAAGTTGGGAAGGGAGCAGGGGGAGGCACAAAGGCTGGAGGTGGAAAAAGGAAAAAGAAGTTGACAGCTTCTTGGAACTAAAGCTGGTAGGAGCTGAGGCTGGAGCCCAGACCATGAGGGACCTTGACGGGAGTCTGATTTTATCAGAAGGGCACTGGAAAGCCACGGAGGTCAGGGACATCATCTGCTATATGCAGAGATGAGGCTGGAGGGGGAGTGGGGGCCAGAACTGAAGCAAGAGTGCGGTCAGGATGCCTTCCCGAGGGCCCATCCATGGCTGGTGGCAGTGGAGATGAGGAGGATTGATGTGGACCATTTTTAAAACCTTTATTGAGTTTGTTACAACACTGCTTCCGTTTTATGTTTTTAGTTTTTTGGCTGCAAGGCATGTGGGATCTTAGCTCACCGACCAGGGACGGAACCCGCAACTCCTGTATCGGGAGGTGAAGTCTTAACTACTGGGCCACCAGGCAACTCCCTAGAAGTGGGTGAATTTCCTATTTATTTGGAGGTAAAGCCAACAGGGCTAGCTGCTGAATTGGGTGTATGGGAAAATAAAGAAAAGAAACACAAAACTCCTAGCTTTTTCATTTAGATAAAGAAATTGACAAAGACACAAAATATTTAGAGGGAGAAAAGAACTGATCTGTTGGAGAATACTCACAGTCCTTTTTTGACTAAAGATTGAGATGACTAAGATGTCTGAGGTGGAGATACAGGGTAGGGAAGCTTGAAAGATTGACCTTTAGCTACAGTTTAAAATCTGGGTGTTATTATCAAATAAAGGTAGGAGGTAAGGTTGTAGAAAGTCCCAAACTCTTGGCCTTCCCTGGGAGCCAAGTGGTAAAGAATCCACCTGCCAATGCAGGAGATTTTGGTTTGATCCCTGGGTCAGGAGAAGGAAATGGCAACCCATTCCTGTACTCTTGTCAGGGGTTGCAGAGTTGTACATGACTTAGCAACTAAACACCACCAACAATAAATATGCTGAGCTCTTGATAAATTCTACTGAATTATTTTCCAAAAGCACAATTTACGGCCTCATCAGTGCTCTGACTGGCTCTCCAAAATAATGTACTATTAATAACTGATAAAACATATCGAGTTTTGTTTGCAAATGTGACAGTGGAGGAGGGTATTATTACACTATCTTTTCTGTATTACTGAGGGTTTTTTTTTCCTGCTACACAAAATTAATTTAAATTCACATCACCTTTTGATAGGTGAAGGCAGAGATATAATCAGAAAATCAGAACAAGGATCATGAGTCCTAAAGACTGAGAATACACTCTGGGTTCAAGCCTTCTTGCCTGGTGATTCCTGTTCTGAAATTCTCAGGGCCTGTATTTGTTGTATTGTTGTCAGCCAGTTCTAATCCTGCCCTACATTTTTCTAATCCAATACCGAAAAGGAAACAAGGATTAGAGCCCATTTTAGCATTAAGAATCAAGTAGGCTGGGCTACTTCCTCACAAATAATCCCTGGCAATCACATTTCAACTCCCTTAGAAGTCCTCCTTGTGTGGAGAGAAACAATAAAGCCTTCCGAGGCTGGTCCAGCCAGAGGGTCTCATTTCTGCATTCCAAACCACGTGATTTCCAGGCAAACCATCCGTCCCACCACCACCTGGCCTGAGCATTTGGCACAGAAGACACCAGGGCAGTATTCTTGCCTGGGAAATCCCATGGACAGAGGAGCCTGACAGGCTACAGTTCATGTGATAGCAAAGAGTAAGACATGACTTAGTGACTAAATAACAACAATGCTAGGCAGCTTTAACTTCTGCATAATTGTGAGAACCATGGCCCCGGTTACTCCTTGGAAGAAAAGTTATGACCAACCTAGAGAGCATATTAAAAAGCGAGACATTGCTTTGCCCACAAAGGTCCGTCTAGTCAAAGCTATGGTTTTTCCAGTAGTCATGTATGGATGTGAGAGTTGGACTATAAAGAAAGCTGAGGTGGGAGGGGGGTTCAGGATGGGGAACACATGTAAATCCATGGCTGATTCATGTCAATGTATGGCAAAAACCACTACAATATTGTAAAGTGATTAGCCTCCAACTAATAAAAATAATTGAGGGGAAAAATAAAATAAAAAAAAAAAAGAAAGAAAGCTGAGTGCCAAAGAACTGATGCTTTTGAACTGTGGTGTTGGAGAAGACTCTTAAGAGTCCCTTGGACTGCAAAGAGATCCAACCAGTCCATCCTAAAGGATATCAGTCCTGAATATGCAGTGGAAGGACTGATGCTGAAGCTGAAACTCCAATACTTTGGCCACCTGATGTGAAGAGCTGACTCATCTGAAAAGACCCTGATGCTGGGAAAGATTGAAGGCAGGAGGAGAAGGGGATGACAGAGGATGAGATGGTTGGATGGCATCACTGACTCAATGGACATGAGTTTGAGTCAACTCTGAGAGTTGGTGATGGACAGGGAGGCCTGGTGTGCTGTGTCCCTCACGGCCAAAGGGAAGGAATACAGATTCCTTCTCAACCATATCCTGCAGGTGCCAGGTGATTCCCAAACTCAACAAATTCCTCCCCAGTCCTGAGAAAAAGAGCAGGTGGCTTAGATTACCTGGGACCTCTTCAGATGCACCCAGTATACCAACCAGAGCCCCAAAGTGCAGGCTCTAGGGATAGCTGCATGCCCCTCCCAAGTGGCCACCCCCGGGAGAGCCCTGACCTTACCGCCCCTGGCACCCACAACTGCCCTTGGCAGTGACACGTGTCAGGGCATCTAAGCCCATGGCACACCAGGACATTGGAAATAGCATGACTAATACCAGACGGGCTGGAAGCTTGGGAGAAGTGGGGGTGTCACCA